GAAAATGCTATTCCCACGACTAAACATGAGACTGATTCTCATTTTCCGGTGGCGAAGAGGCACCGTGCAGAGCTTCCTTTCGGCCTCTTTCTGACCGACTATTCTCTGCAAATTTAAGGCTACCTTCATGCAATCCTTGTCGCTTCTCTTCCTCAGTCCACTCTGCCGTATAATAATGCTCTTCCTTTGACTTCTTCTCATCACTTGTTGGTCCAAAAAACATACTTCCCCATTGCGGAAAATGTATAAACGCAACCAAAAGCGTAAAAATCATCGCCATGATTCCCATGAGCGATAAACCATCGGCAGTGTGGAATCTAGATGAGGAGAAAAAGATCAACTGAGTTAGTCCAGACCCAAAATTTCCTCCTGCACCGGTCAGTCCTGATATTAGCCCTAGAGAGCGGCGGGAGACAAAAGGAACGATGCCAAAGATGGCTCCACAAGCAGCTTGCACACCGACTGAGAAGAGCATCATGGCTAAAATAGCTACAGGGAGTGAAGTAGCACGGCCAAGCCAAACACAGAAAAGACCACCAGAAGTTTGTAGAATCCAAAGGGTCCATAACCGCCCTCTCATGCCGAAAAATCGAGCTGACATGTCAGATGCGTAGCCGCCTAGAGGACGAGCGAAGAAGTTAGCCATACCAAAGCTGGCTGCTATCATTCCAGCTGTGTGAAGTTCAAGTTGAAACCTGATACGTAAACCACAAGAAACAGATTAGGTTACTTGGGAGGAGAGAAACATTTGATATGAAACGAAAATTCTTATATTTATTAGTGGAATTGAATCCAAACCTGTCGAAGAAATACTCTGAGATAACATTGTTAATGGTCATTTCGATTCCCATGGAAAATCCATAGAGAAGAAACAAGACATATGTTCTGTAGTTCATCACAGCATACCAAAACACCTAAAAAGAGCAAAAAATTAATACATTTAATGTGGGAATTAAATGATAATTAAATTTAATATGATAACTCATTCAAATCCACAATGATATTGAATATATGTATTATATATTGATGTGATTATTTCTCTAAGTACCTTAGAGAACTTGTCTTTGGAAACATCTCCTCTCTTCTGCAGAGTACTTAGGTTTCCATCAGGAAGATCTTGTCCAAGAGTAAGAACAAGAATGCCCATAATGACCTGTAGAGATCCGGGGACGAAGAAGGCGATCCTCCACGCAGTGAAGGGAGAGGCTCCGGCGAGTTTGATGACGTGGAAGACCATCGGCATGAGTAGCTGAGTCACGCCTCCTCCCATGTCTCCCCACCCACCGGCACATCCATTGACGAGTCCGATGATCTTGCCGTTGAACATTACGCTCGTCCAGTATTGACACGACACGAACGTGGCTAGACAAAAACCGATCATGAACCGGACGGATAAGTAGCCACCAGCATCAGCCACAAAGGACATGCTGAACACTGTTGGGGCTGATAGCATTAGCAGAAACGCCGTTCCGTATCTGTTTCATTTTTACGTTACCATTAGTTATTGAAATGAACATTTGTAATGAAAGAAAAACGAGAGAAATTAATTTCTTATGAATTTTATGCATAACAAGATTATAATTCCTATGTAGGGATCTTGACTGATTGATGAATTAAGGCTGCGGTCAGTAAAAGTCGTATTGGATCAATAAAATGTTGATGAATTAATATTGGATTCCTAGACCTAATGCATGTATCCTAACTTCTAACAACACGTAGGTTGAGTCCATACTCAATATGGTTTCACCATAAAACAAATTCGAATATAGTTATAAAATATTACCTAGCCCCGAGCAAGTCACAAATAGCTCCCATAGCAAGTCTAGAGAAAATGGCGCCGGAAACAGAGGCGACTCCGGCGTTTCCAATATCATTTTTGGTCAAATCGAGGTTATCTCTGATGATGGGAACGAGAGGTGCGGCGGCAAACGTGGAGATGAAGCAAGTGAAAAATGAGATCCATCCTAAGTGGAAAGCTCTCATGTGTGGTTTCGCGAATGAGAATGGTTTGAACACTTTTGCTCTATGTTCTGAGTCAACCGGCAAGGCAAACTTAGCCGTTGGATCATCCGATCGGATGGTTTGAGACGAAGGGCCATCTTTGTTATCGACAGAGAAGGAGAAAACTTGTTCCCTCGCCGTGACTCCATGCATGGAGGTCCCGATAGAGCCTTCTTCTTCATTACTTCGAGCCATTATTGTTCCCAAGAAATGGGAGATAAGAAGACTCTTTCTTCTTGAGACACAACGTGCTTCTTGTTCTCCCCACGCCTTTGCTCTTGGTTTGCTAAGTTTTTTCGGTTTTACGTTTTTTCCATGCCCTATATATTACCGTAGAAAAGTGGCATATCCGTTTGAGACGATAAAATATTATTTACATATTTGGTAATATATAAATAATTTTATTAGATTAGTCTATAAATACGTTTCCTTTTATATGTTGAGTTGTATTTCTTCGATAAAGTAAAACCAAACTTCTATAAGTACCAAGCTAAACAATTTGATTGAGTATCGCGCTTATTGGACGTTTTACTTTTACGGTTTTACCTCTCATTCATAATTTATCAGCGATAATAAAAATTTTAAATTTCTTCCAATTAGTTGGTAACTTAGAATGATAATGTAATCTATTATACATAACAAATGAATGTGTATATTGCATATATTTGCATTGCATGAATGTAAAATAAAAAATTGGACGAAGTAAAAAACAAAGTCCAACTTTCTTGGATGCCTATATAACTCTATAAGGAATATCCAATTTTCGAAATGTAATGGTCGTTGACAATATCGCGTTGTAGAAATGTATCACGCTGTCAACATTTTAATTAATTATAATTGCAACTTGGTAGACCTCACGAAGACATAACCAGAGTACTAATCATCAATTAGTAATAATGTTGTCATACGGTATGACTCATACCTATGTTAAAAAAAATTTACGTACTAAGAAGTTTATATATACAGTATATATATTGCAACTTGGAAGGGTAAACCTCACAAAGACATAACCAAGATCTATTCATCGATCAGTAATAATGTTGTATCATTTTAATTTATATATCCTTTTAGGCGTAGATATTGCAGAAGAGAACCTAGGATTTAATATATACTACAAAAATGTTTTTTTTCTTCTATTTTTAACTAAATCTTACCATGTACACACATGTGATTACAAAAGTCCTGATGAAATGTAACATATTAATTCCCGCCAAACCTAAAATTCATCATATTCATTTAAGCACACGTTAGTTGTGATCAGTTGTGATGGTCTATATGTGCCAAACAGTTTTGAATCTCTTTTTCATTGGCTTCGTTTGAAAACATAACGAGTTTGCGTGTTTGCCCCTTAAGTTGGATAAATGGATACTATACCACCACCCGCATATTTTTTTTTTCTAAACAATGAGCTTACGACGGCTTACGCTAATTTCACAATCAATAATGATATCAGATTTAGATATGTTGTATACCTACCAAAAAAGTAATTTAGTGTTGATAACCTACCGTACGAGAACGTAACTCTGGTGCGTACGGCACCGGGCATATCAAGTTGATCATCGTCTTGACTCTTCCTGCTTCGCCTTATTCATGCCTCCTTTCTTCTCTCTTCTTTGACTTATTTATAAATATATATTTTTTTTTTTGTTGGGAATGTTTGATTATTACATTGATTGCTACATTTCACCGAAGATACCACATTATACATGAAAAATATTGTACTCAATGATATTTATTCTATCACATCATAAAGATGGCTATAACTTATATGTTTATATTAACTGGTTCACGTGGCTATTAGTAGTATTCATCTATAAAAGTAATGTGACTATGTGAGTAACTAAGAATTTATAGCACGACGGAAATGAAGATGTTTATAATACACATTTTGTATTGTGAGGGATGAAAATACTTTTTTTTTCTTGTGCAAAGGTATAAATAATGAATAATTTAGAAATAATCTCGCCTATAAGTGAACCCACGATGAATGCCCGTTCAATCAAAGATCATACGTGGGACGATAACTTCTCGAATAGTTAACAAAAAAAATGAAGAAAAGGGAAGATAGTCAGAAGCTCTTATCAAATGAAAGTGAAACGATGAGTATTATAATGACCGTACAGATCATGCGTCTCAATCTTTATCACCAAAGCCAGGCTGTGTCTGTAATGCTGTATTTAAAGCATATGCTGTTCCCATCTGACTTTCAAAAGCCAAAAAGTCTTAACACCAGTTTTATCTTTTACTTGATCTTGTTTTTTTCCGGTTTTTTTAGATTTCTCTGACAACTTTTGTCAACTTTATTGACAATATTTTTAAGTCAAAAGTCAAACCTTCCTTTTAATGCGCCCGGTTAAATTACTTGTCTTATGAAATGGAGGCAATATTAAAAGGACTCTGACAACTTGGTCTTAGTCCTGAACTTGCTAGAAGAAAACTATGTTAGAAAAAGACAAATTCACTGTAAATGCTAAAAGAGGTTTTTCATCACCACGTCAAAGAGCTCATTGAAATGATTTTAGAATCCAAAACTTATTAATTTGGCCTCAGCTTTTACGAAAACGGTAGAAAGAGTTAAAAACTAGAGTATAAGTGGGTTTACCGGGCTTCGGTAAAAGCTCATAATGGTAGGAACTAAACGTCCTTTAACGGTCAAAACAACTTACAACTATCAGTTTCTTGAATGCTATGTAACGTGAGCACATCTATGAATCCATTCTCTATATGCATCTCATCCACTTTGCACACATCGTTTGTGGATAAAACAAAACTCAGCTCACTTGTCGTCCTCGAATAGATGAAAAGCATAAATCAAACGAGCATGGGCTCTAAAAATGTTGAAATGGTGCAGAGAGAAAGAGAAGGATAAAATTAGATAATCATTACTTAAAACACTTCAATCAGTTTTGAAAAACCTAGGGCTATCTAAAAGGCTAAAACACGAAACCGGAAAAAGAACAAAAAAAAAAAGGAAAACAGAAGAAACACAGTCAATGAGGTCATGGCGCATTCAAGAGAACATGATCAATCTGGTTAGCCAAAATCTGGTCATCAATGATCGAACCATGTTTCCCGACAGCCGGAATACTAAGCGAACGTTTCCTCATCTTGGCCTTATCCGAGTCAGCGACTACGATTCTGTTCCTAAACTCAGACGTTAGCTCAAGAGACTCAGTCAATGGCTGGCTCGCCGTCTTGAGGAAAAGGTCGAGGTTTTTGGTGTATTTGTCATCTTTGTTGTCAGGCTTTGCAGCAGCCTCGTTACGGTTGTTTTCAGTCACCATGGAGATAGTGTCACGAGCCTCGTCTTCGTTGTCAGTCCAGTAACTCTTGTCTTCCATTGCCAAATCATCGTACTCTTCATCTGACTTCGTCGATTCCTCATCCACCGATCCAACCTGGTTTTCAAGTTTTACATGTAAAGAGTCAGAATCTCGGTCACGGTCGATTTTCATCAAAGATGAAAGAAAGCTAAATGTAAAGAAAGCATTAACACCCTCTCAAAGATTTGGTTTACCTCTTCACGGTCGCGTTCGTCATTGTTATCACTGAGATCTTCATCAGAATCTGGCTCAGGAAAATCATCATCGGCTTCTTCATCTTCATCATCGCTCCCATGAACAGACTGCTCCTCTTTGCGCTGAACAAAAGACATGTGAAATGATTAAACAAACCTTCATGAAATGTTTGTACGCATTGGTGAATAATACTGATGTACATACCTCCTTTGAAGCACTCTCAGATATCCGTGGGGAGCTGCAGCAAGAAGAGTAATGCCTGCTTCCGGTTTCAAGAAAATCCGCTTTCGACTCGTCTATGCTCCCGGCGTGACTCGTTGCGCCGTCGCTAGGCCAAGCGCTGATCCCAAGAAGACCGAACTGAAGATTCACCGGCTCAGCTTTCTGTAGGTATCCATAGACGGGATGCTCTGTTCCATTATCCATCTCAGTACCAAAGACGGCAGGCTCTTTTCCGGTCTTATCAACGGAGCCAACAGGCCAAGTTTTCGCTACAGTGCCGTCTGTATTCAGTAGAGCCATTAACCGCCTAGACGATCCTTTTCTCTGGATCAGCTGCAACATTCCCTTGGAACTTAACGAAGTGGCTGCGCATTGGTTCCTGTGCTCGTCGTCAATAACAGCAACGGTGTTTGTAGTTGCGTCATAGAGCTTCTCTCCTGCTTCGCGTCTACGCAGGCAGCTGAAGACAGTCGCGTGGATCGTAGCCACGCTCTTGTCGACGTTTGTGTTGTTTATCTTGGGAACGAGATGTTTATCAGCTCGTTTACATAGATAGTCCTGTATTGTTCTGATGTTACGTATATATTTCACATACTTGTTCTTCTCTGGATCCAACGTCATGTACTTTGCTCTGACTGCAAACCGTTCCAAGTGTTTCTCCTCGTTGGCAATGTACACCATGAAGGGAATAATCGAAGGGTGCTTCTTCATCAGTCCCATCTGCATAAAAGGAAAAAAAAGTTAAGATTGAAAAGATCTTATAACCTCAAATCATTATGTGTAATTAAGACTTACCACAAAGTTAAGGCTTAAGTGGACTCCTTCAACGACTACAGACTCTTTCCTCTCTTCCCATGTGGTAATGAGCCTGTCGAGACTGTCAATCACCATCTCGCTTTGTGCCTTGTAACCTTCTACAGCCATCTGCTTATCACTTATCAACTCAGTTGTGCTCGGGTTTGATTCAGCGTCCGGCATCTTCTGGATATTGGAGCTTACACTTCGAGAGCCTTTCAACTTTTTGGTTCTTCTTTTGGCTTTTGACTCAGCAACTGCCACAGGGTCAAGGTACTCTCCAGCATGGTACGTTGAAGCCCAAAGCAATGGATTCTGCTTCTCATCAGCAAAGCTTCTCATCATGTGCCTTATCGAGTCAGTTGATACAACAGTCGTTATGCCCAGCCTGCTACCCTGTAACACAAAAACACAAATTCCATCTGCTTAAGAACACATTGAAACCAGATACTATCACTCTGAAAAAGGTGAATCAGTGCATAGTTGATTAAACAAAAAACAAAAGAGGAGAGCTTCTTATTGTCAATCTAAACGGAGGGAATGAATATTTACCAGCAATGCGGACAATGTAGATTTTCCACAGCCACTGGTGCCACAGAGCAGAATAGTTACAGACTCTTTCCTTTCTCGGATTCTGCAAGTGATAATAAGAGTTGTAGACAATGAGATGGAGAACAATTGACATACATGAAAAGCGTGCATGACACAACATCTCTTAATTGGCCATTCAGTAGAATTCATTCTGACTACTAGATAACAAAATAAAGGCTAAAGAATATCTTAGGAAGGCACATAAATATATTTCAATGCATTTTTTTCCAAGAACAGAATATTACATAAAAAGCAGACAAATGCAAATTCTATATGCCATCACTTTCTTTGACAAAACATATCAGGTAAATATTCCAAAAGCTGATAATTTTTTTTACCTGCATGCCAAAATCAAATCTGCCCTTTGGTCACGGCCAACATACTTATACTCAGCCAGGGCATCACACACAACATCCAAGAATATTTGCCGAGAAACAACAACAGTTGTGCGCCTTTTGTACATCTCAAATGGTTTGCTTTTCTCCTTGTCAACATCATCATTATCACCAACCAAACGGTTTATCTCTTCTACACAGGTCGAACCACCACCTTCTTTTGCAAATTCAGATTCCTTCCCATGCTCTGGTGAGGAATTACAAGATCCCTCACTTCTTATTAGCTCAAAAACCCTCCTGCTTATCTGCAATCAGAGAACAAACGAACGACAAATAAACAAATGCAATAACTCTCAGCAGCAAGGTCAATAGTCCAAAATAGAGCCAATTCAAGACATCTATAAGATCTAAGTCCTTTCTAGATCCATACACATTAATGACCAAAACTTTAATGCTATTACAAGTCAACTAGATTCGTAGCCCTTCATCAAAAGAGAAACAATTTCGAATCAAAAACAGAGAAAGTTATTCCAGAGAAATTAAAAACAAAAAAAACACGAAATCGACATTTCTATGGAGATGATTAAGAAAATCGGAATCACCTTGAAGGCGTGACGCGCCTTGCATCCCATAAGCTGAAGAGTACTCTGCAAAACAGGACGCGTGTACCGAAACGAATCTTCCCAATTACCGTCTCGTTTCGCCGCCGCAGCCGCATCGTCGAGCACCACTAAATACAGAACCTTCGTCGTCGCCGCCTCCGCCATTTCTGCAAAATCAACAGAAGAGGGAAAACGAATCAATGACAAAAAAGAATTCAAAACAGTTTGAAATTCTCCCGAGAAAAAAAAAACGAATAATCAGAGGGAAATTCGGGAATGTAGGGAAGGTAGAAGAGAATTATTGCTCCACCTGTCGGAGAAAATTGATTTATCGCAGATCGGAGAGGAAGAGAGGAAAAGAAGAGTGAAAAAATTAGGGTTTATAAATGAGGATCGTGATTGTTTTCTTCATAAGAAGAGGAAAACGAAGAAGAATATGAAGAAGATAAGAAAGATATTTTCGCCATTTCTGATTTGGTCACTCTCTCTCTCTCGTCTTCAACGCATCGCTCGAGGAGAGCCTTCACGACTTCTTTAAGAAACCTTCCTTTCTCTTTTTCTCTCTCTCTCTCACGTATCTTTTTCAGACACAAAAACAATTTTATTTCTTTTCCTTTTTGGGCTTTTGAAATGTTTTTGTTTTGTTTACTTTACTTGACAAAGACATCCCTAGACTTTGTTTTGATATCAAATTGACCCTCTTAGTTTTGATTTTAACTCGAAATTAGGAAAATAGAGGTACTTGAATGTAAGATAATTAAAGTGTAGGGGATATTAAATAGTTTTTTTTGTCTTGTTCTGATAGGGCTTTCTTCTCTTTGGGTCAAGATTTCAGTTAGAAGGTTAAGAAGTTTCGCCGACCCATTTGAACCGGTCTTTATCAGCAATTAGCAAAAGAGTTTTATTATGAATGAAAAGAGATTAGATCTCTCTAACCATAAAAACAGATTCATAATCTCAAATACTATATCTTTATGAAAACTATGAACTTGGTGGTTTTTCGAAGCATGTTTTTTTCTTAATTATATGAATATGCATGGTCATGACTCATGGTTATACCAATTAAAATTGTAAGAAATTCAAAATGTAAGAGAAATATAAAAGTTAGAGAAGAGTATGAATGTGTACCTTCACAAAAGCTGTCTTTGTATACGTCTAACAATTTGGAGGTGCATGTGATTTTCTTTTCTGTTTGGGTTTTTCTTGTGATGCTATGAAACCAAAAACCACATTTATAGAGTTTGTGATTCTGGAAATCTTTGTTATGAAGTAAACGGAATAAAACCACAGAAAATCATTTAAGAGGATGAATCCATAGATTCCTTGACTTGCTTTAATTTGAGGAAAATTATTGCCTAAAGAAGGATAAAAAGTTAAATGGGAAATGAATTTTAAAATTATATTGGCTATTTATATATTTCTCAATAAATTAGTTATATGCACATTATAAATTAAGTTTTACTTATTTATTTTCTTTCCTTTTACTCGATTTGGAATACTTATTTATTAAGGGAAAAAAAGACAAAAGAAATCTGTCCACAAGATTCACCGTGTGGGCCCTACCCTAGGATTGGTAAAATTGTAAATCAGGTGTGGGAACAATGTTAATGATTGAACTTTTTCATCTGCAAATGTAATTTTGTACTTTTGTCGGGCAGGAATTAGAGAGGACAAAGGAAGTGGGCTCCTTCATCATAGAACAAAGTTCAAAAGTTCAGACGTTACATCCATGAAGTTTGAAGTTTGAGCCATCCATGGATTTGGTCAATATATTTCAAAAATACACTAGAATCATTATTATCAATTGATAATTAGAGAGAATATTATTAAATATGAATATTCTATTTTTTTTCAACATATTATCAATAGTAAGTGGGTTGATTTTTGCCATTACATTATTTCCTATTCCCTTGTTTTTAATGATGAATTTCTAGCAACTTTATGTTGTTTCATAGAGATAAATTCTTTAACTTTGTGATTCATTTTTTCCGATTTCAAGAAACAATAATTAAATTTCTTAGATTTTTATTGGTTTAAAGTTATAGGAAATAGTGTAACTGCAAAAATCAGTACAATTATGATTGAAAAGTAACATTTTCTTAATAGGTGTGAAAAAACTAGAAAATTCATCTTAAAAAACGGAGGGAGTAGAACTTTAAACCAATAAAAATCTAAGAAATATAATTATCGTTACTTGAAATCTGTAAAAGTGAATCAAAAAACTAAAAAATACTCGTATATCTTTATGAAACAACAGAAAATTGCTAGAAAATTCATCATAAAGAAACTAAGGAAATACAAATTAATATCTAATCACATGTTTTCACGTCATTTTAAATTAATTACTTTCACATTTAATCAATTTTTAGTTACCTAAATAAAAATTTGTACAAATTAAACTAAATATATATTTTATTTGTTATTTTCTGAGATAATAATATAAATATGTTAAAGTAAAACAAAATATCAAAAAATATAATTTAGAAGTATACTTATATAAAATAAATAGTTTGTTAATTATATACAGAAAATTTGCGAACTTATAAATATCCACAGATAAGTTCTTTTTGCGAAAATAGACATCGATTTACAATGATGAAGTCTGTCGAAGATTCATTTTCTGAACCTAGCTAGCAACGCGGAAAAAAAAGAGCTCATAGATCTTTCAATCGTACATCAAGTTGATTAATGATGCAACAATTCGTAGACTACTTCCAAAAGAGTATAAAAGACATCATTATACGATATTTTAACCTAAGTGGGACTTCTTTAATTAACACCATCTTAAGTAGTTTTCGTAAAAGCAACTGAGATTAGTATATTGCGCTCATTCCACTCGGAAAACTATCATCCCCAATGGAAGAAGTAAGGAACAACAGCATATTCGTTATAGAAAGTCAGACGAATTGCAGAGGCTTCATAAACAGCTAAAAACGTAATGGAAGTCGAAGAAGTTTTAAACAAAAATGGCAAAAATTGTGAAAATACGAAAGACTTATCACGCAGAAAACTAAACGGTTTTCCTTCTCAAAAATCCTTATTTATAAAGGACTACCTTCACAGCTTATTTATTTATTTTATTTTTTATAAAGACCTTCACAGCTTCACTTACGTACCGTTTGCTAATCCACCATCTATAACAAGTATTTGACTATTCAATCCACGAAGATCAAGTATCTATAATGAGAGCGAACGCGATCGGTTTAAAAAGCAGAAGATTTTTTAGTTGCTAAGACATGTGTCAACCTTTTTGGAGGTGACATGTCAAGCAGATGGAGAGGGCTCACCCAGCCATAATATAGTGTACTTTTCTATTTGTTTGAAACCTGCGTTTATATATCAGGTTGCAAGTCAGGTGATTCCGATTCCGGTAGTCCAGTCATCATCATCATCAATACTGATAAAAATCTCAACTTCTTCATATATAATATAATTTCACATAAAGTATGCAAATCTACTAATTAACAGCGAATTTGAGAATATTACAACAGACGACATTACTAATAGAGAATCTCAATTAAACGTGCGTAATAAAACAATAGAGGATTCTTATTTATGTGAGTGCTCGCCTCATCATATATATACTATAATTTCACATATATAGCCATCCGTTTTATTTTATTTTTCACAGAGTTTTCACCAGTTCTTTCGAGTTATCCACCACCACCATTGTTATCTCCTCCAGGTGAATAGTTGTTGAAATCTTGTCTTGGGATGTAATGGTGATTTTCTACGCTGCTTCTTGGGTGCTCTATATTTTTCTCAGTTGAATATTCTTCTTTCCCTGACATCTCTCGGGATATTTCCTCAGTTTCTTGATTATTTTCTCCCGGGATTGTTTTCCTCGCAGCCGAACAAGAGCTTCCCACGATCATCACCACCATGATAACAACCACAATAAGCTTAGGCTTTACCCCCATCTCGGTTTGATATAATACTGAGCTACAAAATAAAAAACAGAATAGTCTTTAGAAATTATGACGAACGTTCAAGATCATGTTTATATTGACATCATGACATGAAAATGAAATGCGTATAACTTACCTTTTGCAACTAAGTTGTATAAGCTTCGATGGGTTTAGTTAAGTACCCTTAATAGGAAGAAGATAGATAGTTTAAGAGACTGGTATATATATGCATGACAGCATGAGAGATTAGGGTTTTTTTTTGGTATGGTTGGTTGACTATTTGAGATATATTTTAAAGTTATACGATTTGAGTGTGATGTGACGGTCCTAGTGGTGAGACAATCGTAAGTGGGAAGTGCCTTTGATTGGGGAATTCGAAATTTATGGTAATTGTTTTCTCTCAAGAAGGAAAGAATTGTGATGGAAAAATGATGAAGTTGGTTGACAAATGGTCTATTAATTGCACTACAAATAGGGAAAATCCACATTACGTTGTGGATTAGCTGAATATCAAGTGGTGGTTTCCGCAAGTAATGATGATTTTCAAAAACACCTGAGTAATTACGATTTATTATTGCACAATTACAATTCGAGTTGGATTTTTGTACTAAAACTTGTGAATCCGGAAGGAGAGTGCGGTCGAGTGAATTGGAGCCCGACCATACATAATTTTTTTGTTAAAGACGAAAGATAGAGAATCCGGATTTCATACTGAAGAACTATAAGCATTTTTATGAGTAATATTTGTATATATGTGCATATTGAAATCTCTAAAGATGTCTCTTTACGGGAACATCCGATCAATTGGGATGATGCGCAAAAGAAACATTAATACATTCAAGCTGTAAGTAGTATGAATTTGTATGAAAAACGGCCGTTTCCCTGAATTTGTATGTGAAATACTCTTCCATATAGATGAAACTGTATGCGAACTTATTTTAGCATTGGGAACATTATTTTCCACTACTAAAAGTTGGAATCAAATTGATTCATCAATAGCCCTTAAATGATTAATTAAACTAAAAAGTAGAAGAAATTACAAATTTCTAGCTTTTAATTATTATCAGTGGGTTACAACTTACATTTATTTATATCAGTAACTATTCCGATCATGCTGTAAAAATGTCACCACTTTGTCAATATGGTAGTATGAATCATCAAATTAACTTCATAATGTTGCCACATTTTAATAAAAAATAATACATGATACGATAAATTCCAAATCAGTTTACATCTGAAATTTGGATATGCATCGAAAATACAATTTCGCCACATTATATCCAAACGAGGATGTTTATTGGCTTCTATATGCTTGGTGACGTTTCTGATTGGTTATAAAAGGTCATGTTATTTGGATATGCAATAACATGTACGAGTTTATCCATGGGCTTGCTTTTTTCTTTTAATTGGGTAGCTAAGTAATACAATGGAAAATATACAATAACCTAGAGGTTGTTCTTATCTTAGGTTTATCCACAGATTTCAAGATGTTTTTCTCGTAAAGGATAATAGTTAAATAGACGTTGTCTGATAATAGTCCTTATCCAATCTGGTAAATATTTAACCGGATGTATCAAATATATTATCAAACCCGATTAGAAAATCGACCCAAATCAAACCATTCTCAAAAAAACCGGAAATAAACGTGAACTAAACTAATTCCGTTACTTACCCTAATCGTCTCTATAGCTTTGGCCCTCGATTTAACTCGGTTTAAATTCGCAAAACCGTACCTCAAATAAAACAGTATTAACCGGAATCGATTAAGAACAAAAAGAGCATCTAAAATATTCCGTTAAACATTCAAGTCTATCTAGGACACCGGAGAAATCTCAGGCCAAGAAGTTTCCCATTAGTTTACCTCCTTAGAATATTTTCATTTCCTAATATTATGTCGTCTCGTATGTATATATATACACATATATATTTACTCGCGTAAGATATCCATTACACTTTTTTTTCGAAAGGTATAATAAACTCAACTTTCTTGAGAAGCAAGAAACGATGGCACACAAGGATGTCGTGGTGCATGAAGAAGAAGATCTCGGAGCTGCTATGCAGAAACTTGAGATACCTTTCAAGGAACTCGAACAAAACTCCATCGACGACGATTTAACAGACGGACTAAGAGATATAATAGAAGATCCAAATTTACTAGTGAGTTTCTCTCAACTATTTTAAAAGACATTGTTTTGGTTTTGAATGAAAATAAATAAAACTCAACTGTATGTTCTTCGATGTGTTTTTAGCTTGAAGAGGATGGTGGAGAGTTTGAAGAAGAACCTAGCAAAAGCTTATACATCGATGATACTACAAACGATTTGAAAAACTCCTTAAATTCACCAACTGTTGTGACAACAAGAGTAAAAACGTCTCTTGCACCAAGACGGCCAAGAAACAAGCGAGGAAGACGAAAAAGACGGAGTTTCAAAAGCGCGGATGATCTCTTAGACTCTGAAGTTGACGTTACGGACCAAAAGAGCTGTTTGCACTGTGGGACGAGAAACACACCGTTATGGAGAGAAGGTCCAAAAGGAGCGGGGACGCTGTGCAACGCGTGCGGGATGCGATACAGAACGGGTCGGCTACTTCCCGAGTACCGTCCTGCTTCAAGTCCCGATTTCAAACCTAACGTCCACTCTAATTTCCATCGGAAAGTTATGGAAATCAGAAGGGAGAGAAACTCACCACCTCCCAATAACTTTGGTGTTGAGGGTTTTCGGCATTGAGGATTCGTATGAGATTTCTACTAGGAAATTAGGGTTTACTCTGTTTTTAGTTGTGTTGGGGTCAGAACAGGATAATTTTTTGGTTCTATTTGACGTTTTATTTTTCTTTTTAAAACAGTATTCTCTCTTGTAAAACGGTTCCACTTCAAGATTATACTTTGTTTTCTACTTTAAAGTAACATACAAGATTGAACAAGGATAATTTGACACTTGTTTATATGATTTCTTTTAAAGTGAATTTGTTAACTCATTATTGAATATAACTCATGCCTAGACATCGCAAAAGCATTTGACAAGGTTTTGCAGATAAGTGGTGCAATTGGATTATGACTTGTATCACAAATGTCCTCTTGTGAATGGCTCACATACTGGTAATATCAGATGGCAGAACCCTAATTATATTGAATTTCTACATGGTTTTAAAGCAAGTAGAGGAGGTCCTTGAGTTTCTCTCATATGCTATTTGCGGATGACTCTCTTTTGAGAGGAAGAATGATGCAAAATATTGATGGAAGTTGTCACTATCTGTGGCAAACGTGTGTTAATTATCAAAAGTCAGCCATATTTTTTTAGTAAAAAATAACTCTCATTGTCTTAAAAACTCATCTAAGGTTCCTTTGGCAAATACTTAGGTTTGCCTTTGTAGGCTTGTAGCTCACAATTACTTAGGTTCGCGTAGAGTATACAAAAGATTGGTCAAAGATTATATTTTTTATCACAAATATTTTTCTTCGCAAGGACTTTTTTCTTCAAAAAAATTAATCTTTTGATCACAATGCCCATGTACTGTAATAGACAATCTCTGTAGTCTTTCTTTATTATTAAAGTATAGTTGAAACTTGTTCTGTTACAATCTTTGACCAACTCAATTCCTTCTTGTAATTTTCATTAATAAACACCTGCAAATCCAGCCAAACACAAATCATAAGAAGAAACAATTTCAAACACACACAAAATTACTTATAATCTTTATTCAAGCAATCATCACGCCTTAAAAACCTAAAATTCTCAACAAAAAAATTTGAAGAGTTAGTTTTAAATAAGACAGCAGACAAAATCTTGTACCATTCCATTAGGATTCAATCGATTCAGTTGTAGTAGAGCTCGAGACCCATGCCGTCGTGAATCTCGTAATCCTTGAGAGTGATGTGATCCTTGTAGATGTTGTACCACTTTTGGATCCTGATCTTCTCCGATCGTGTTCCGGTCTGCGCCGCCACGAGCTTCTTCAGGTCTCCGATGGTGTCATCTTCGTTGCACTTCACCCTCACCTTCTTCCCTAGCCTATCGTTCAGCACCACCTCTATCATCTTCTCTCTCTCTCTCTAGATTCTTTCTTTTTCTCTCCAATCAAATTTTGGAGGAATGTTTTAATTCGAGTTTTTCGGGAGACTTCGAATATATAAAGGTCTTGATCGTTTAGTTCTCTTTATGACCAATGAGAATATTCCACGTAAGAATCTGATTCCTTTTCTTACAAGTAAGAGAATTGCCGATTAAAGAGTAACATGGGCCTATGAGTTTCAATTTCGTACTTTGCTTTGCACACTTATTAGCCCATAATTGGTACTTTGTAATGCGAATTATCAAGCCGAGAATCTAAATTTCATTAAATTTATACTGGGTTACATTTGTTGCCAACAAAACATTATCAAGATCGATACATCATAAACTATTCAAAGAAACCCTAATTAGCCTCCTGAAGTACACAGACAATTTTACTAAATCATATTTGAAACCCTAATTAGAAATCGGAAACGGACTTAACTAAAATCACTACAACAATTCTAAACAAAATACATACTTGAAACCCTAAGTAGACTCTTAAAGTTGTTCTCCACAGCTTCACTCTGTTTCTGTTATTCGTAGATAGATTGGCGACAGAGAGGGCAAGAATTGTTGTCTCGATCCAAGTACCACTTCACGAAACATTCTTCATGAAAACGGTGAAGACAATCAGGCAATTCGCAGTTGGGTTTAGTGTCTGATCCCGATCCCGACTCCGACAGATTCTCCAAGCAGACAGCACAGACCTCTGTTTCCAAATCTCTTGTTAACGACGGATCAGGTCTACAAGGCACAACGACGTAAACCCTCTGTGTCAATGTGACTAAAACACCTATCACCAAGGGTGAATTTTGACTTGACGACCTTTGCGCTTCGACAACAATCTCATCAGATATTTGTTGGGACAAGACAGGATCGTGGAATCGGCTATTGAGACGTTTGTAGACGTAGCTTGGTGCGAAGCTTTTGAATTCGTGAAAGATTTGTGGGTTTGGAGGAGAAGGAGAAGCCGGGGAAGATCCGAGACTCGTGACACTACCATCGCTCTCGTCGACGAGAAATTCTTCGTCTTCCCAATTTAGACTGATCACCACCGTGTTTGCGTGACCTAACAACGGAGATTGCGACAAAACCGTTGCTTTCACATCGACCTTGACTGATTCGGTCTCCATTCTTAGAAAGTTCAACAAATTCAGAGAGATTATCGAAGAAGAGATTTGAATCGTGAGAGAAAAAAGAGAGAGATTGTTGAGAAAAGTGAAACTGTGATGAATACTGAAGTGTGACATGTATTTATAAGAACAGATTTTGTGCTGGTCTAATTACTTAAACGCGATAATTCAACGCTCTTTCCTTTTTTCTTTCTTATTTTCCTTTTTTTTTCTTTTTTTTTCTCTTATTTTCCTTTTCTTAAAAAGCGCTTTTATCAACGTTCATAGTTTGTTGTTGAATTTCCTTTTCCTCTTAAACTAATTTACAACGGTTACTTTCCTTTTCGTTTTAGTTTTTAACTAACGGAGAAACAATTATACATGAGTAAACGAAAGCCTTCACAAACGAATAAAAATTCAGTTTTTATTACCCAAGAACGTGGCAACTATCACGAAAAAAGTCTTTACAACAAAAGAGTCGCAAACTTTTTTAATCAAATCTTTCAAACGTAATAAAATAAAATAAAGGTTTCGTAAAATAAATCCTTTAACAGGCATATAGCAAATAAATCTTCCAAATGTGTAAGAACCTAAACGACCAAATCAGTCACTTGATGAAACATAAAGAAAAAACAAAAGATGATGACTTAGTAGTAGTACTACTGTACATTCACACGTACCTTCCTCTCCTTCCCTTCCCTTTCTGCTCGGGAATCATTTCAGACAATGACAACGACGTGCCACGTCAGCCTTTTTCAGACAACGAAGTGTGCCACAAGGCTGATCATTCAACCACGGTCACCTCCTGATCAACCTTCCAGTAGTTAGTGTCGTTGTACTCCTGCTGCATGTTCTCATCGGAGGAGGTTCTCTCTTTTCCCGGTGAAGCTGTGGCGGCGGCGCTGTTTCTCTTCATTGGCCCTGCTTCTCCAACTATGCCTTCCTTGAGAGCTTGATCCATTGCCCTCTCCGTCCCTTCCGGCTCGACTCCGACAAACTCGACGTCTTTCCCAAACAAGGAAGGCACGGGAGGTGATCTCGGACTGATCTCACCTTCCGAGGATGAAGAACCGTTTGGGATTCTCACATCCGGCATCTTCACGTCGTCATCGACATCTTTAGGAAACGGGTCTGTGACCTCTTGTGCTGCAGGTGCAGATGAAGAAGAATCTCCACGTTCGACCCATTCGGGTGACAATTCATCTGAAATCACCACAGTATCATCGTAAATATCGATATCTTCAGTTATGGTGTCTACAGAGACTGCTTCTGAGGTTGAAGCGGTGGCTTCGAAAGGGTTCTTGCTTTCCGTAATCAAACAGTCTTCTTCTTCTTCATCTCCTTCATCTCCACCACCGGAAGTTTCATTCAAGCTTACATCTTCCATTGCTTCCTCTGAAGGAATCGCTCCTGTTCCTGTGTTTTCACCCAATTCATCTCCTTGGAATGTGAACCAGTTTGAGTTTGTGAACAGATTGCTGCACCAAGAAAATAGTTTTAGAAGCCATAATACTTGCCTACTTGTGTTGTAATGTCTAAATTAGATTTGGAAGCTTACTTAGCCTGTTCATCACCAAGCCTCAGAGATGATATAACAACTTCAGCAGATTCGTCATCAAAGTAGACATCCTACAAAATATGTTACAGTCAGGACTATCGTAGACAGTGTTTACTTTGAACGTTGAACATTTATGTAACTATAGATTGAATACCTCTTCGTCTCTGTCGTTGGAACCATGCTCCTGCAAGAAGAAACATGGAAGAAATTCAGATTCAGCAAAAAATTTTAAGAAAATACTAATCAGAGAGATTAACAACTACGGACCTCCCCAGCACCATTGTTCTCTTGTATGTTGTATCTGAACTGGTTCAAGTTATTAGCTAAACCAGCAAGATCGTAATCCCTGTCGTGAACTTCATCATCGTCACTGTCCCTAGTTCTATCATGTAATGCAGTCGGGCGCCTGCATGGGAAACAAGTAAAGCGATTGTGTGTTATCAAGAGACAAAAATACAACAGGACTAGCACGATTAGAGACTGTGCCATTTATCTTTAAATAGAAATGACAAGAAGCCGTATAGGTTTGAGAAGAGACATACCCGCAAACCCAGCGATAAACATTCTCAACAGTGTTTCGATCGTGCAACGTATTAGCTTCCCACTCGCCCCATTCGTTATGTTCCTAGCAAAGGAAAACGGTACAAGTCAAAAAGTTGTATCCACCAAACAAAATGCAACTATTAATAAACAAGATTTGAGGTAAGACCCTTAAAAAGTTATATGGAAAAAGATAATATACTGCATACAACAGTAAACCTGCAATCATCGTTGCTGAAAAACTAACCTCAAGTAAAGTCTTTATTTGGTTACTATTAGACGACAGCTGAACAAGCTTGTTTGCAATTCTTGAGATATGACCAATATTTCCCACCCGTGGAGCCTGCTTTCCAGCAGCAGGTATTGTTGGCTGCATGAAATTAGAAACGATTATATCATTAACTCAGAACACTTTATCCGATAGAAGATAAATATAGCAGGTCCTTTTTTGTATCTCAGAAAAGAGGTCTAACAATAACTATAATTCCTTTGCAAACTATATAGATGTTCCACATCTTGCCTCACAGAACCAATGACAGAATTCGTTCCACATCTTGTCTCGCAGAACTAGGAAAAAATTCTGTAATACGCACTCTGACAAACTTTTCTCACCATATTTTCAGAATATTAATCAGGCAAGTGCGCACACCAATATGGATGAGTGAAACATTTCATACCTGGTTATCACCAGAAAGAATAGGATGTTTCTCTGTTTTCAGAATCTTTCCAATCAAATCACACTCTTGGAGAAGATGGTCAATAATGGCATCGTTTTTGCTTTCCAAACACGATACTATTATACTCTCCACCTGATGATGCAGTGCATTGTTGTATGGGTACCTACATAGTTGGAATGAACAATTGAAAAACGGATTTAGCCAAGCAAAATGACAACGTGTAAAGCAGCGTTCCAGATAGAAGTATTTACTCAAAGAACAGATCAAGGACTCTTTTGATAGCTCCTGAGCAGGCTAATTCTTTTCCTGTAACTTCACTTCGAGTTTTCAACAAAACAGCAATGAACTCCACAATCTAACAAAAAGTCATCAGCAACACAAAGGAAATCAGAAGAAAATAATAGAACAGAAGACACAACAGATAAGTACATTCGTAAGTCCAAGATCTGATGGCAGGTCTACCTTATAATCAGACCTTCAAGTAAATAATAACTAAAAAGGTCACAAAGAAACCTAACCTTCAGACGATGACTGCCAAGAGGAGGCCTCAACTGCCCATAGGTTGTGGGTAACACCTTTTCATCAGTAGTCACGTTTAAAAGTGCGACAAAGTCACCTACAGCAGAGATTAAAACCTTAAAAGGAAAGTTCAAATATGCGGTCCAAGCCCAAAAAAAGTCAAGGAGCCAAATTCTAACATATATATTTAACAAGAATGAGAGCTCAAATCTATCAGGCTAGAAAGAGAAAGAACAAAGCATATACCCAGAAGAAAGAGGAATAACATCAAACCACAAATTGCAACAACCAAATAATAAAACTAGAAAGAATTCCTTGTCGTCAAAACATGTACTGTCACATTAAACAAAATGAGAAGTAATTATGATCCAAAAAGATGGAATAGGATCCTAGCACAATCAGTAAAAGAAGTAATACCAATGTTATGATGAAAAACGGAAAACTATTCAGCAGGAGAAACAAGAGACGGGTATGTACACGTGTGTCGAACATAAAGGGGTGGTCATTTGTGCTACACTAACCAAGTCTAGGCAGCATGGTGGAAATAGTCTCCGGATTCACAGAAATTGGAGACTCAAAGATTTGTTGGCCCCTGAATGAATACATGAAGGGAGAAGAAACTAAAGATCTTCTTGGGCTTAACAACGAAATGCACACTGAAAGTGTGTGAACAAGGCTAGATTTGGACTGGGGGTCTCCGAAAGCATGCCCAAATATCCTTGCAACAAAACTGCAGACAAAAATATCACCTAAATTATCTTACATACGTTTATGCATATTTATGAGGGTAAAAACATTCTGCAAACCTTGAACTAGAGAGTTTGGTAGCTAAAGGTGATGGTGCATTTTGAGCAATAGTGCACAGTGTTTCAGCAGCGTTTGCATGAACTTCAAGTGAATTCTGATACAAGCAGAAAATTAAAGAAAAACTGTCAGATATTTCACATCAGAACAGATGAAAATTAAAAAAATAAGTCTTGTTATTTGACAGAAACAATAACCACTGTAAAGAAGGTTCTCATTACTACATTTTTTTTTGGACCTTCTCATTACTACATTTAGAGATACAGAAGTTGGTAATCAACCACAGTACCAAGACGATAAAACATAGATGTGCAGGCACAGGAACTCTCCAACTATTCTCTATTATCTTAAAAAGCTAAAGATATGCGATTTTCAGTATTTCCAAATAGCAACAACATGAAGAACCAACATATCCACATTTTAATATAATATTAAGAGAAGCATTCCGAAGAAGCTCTGAAAGCATGCTTCCCATATTCCAATCATTTGCAGCAAAACGAAGGGGATCGAGACAACTTTCAAAAATTGTACTTACTGAAGGGCTAAGCTTATCCACGATCATTTCAAGCAGATTGCTATCAGCTAACCATTGCATCACATCCAGGTGGTTGGGATACACATGATCATCCGCACCAACCAACCGAATTAGAACCTACATAAATCACATGAAAAGTAACTTAAATTTGATTACCAGATCAAATGTAAGGATAAGAAGGGAGGAAAGGTTTACCTCCATGATGGACGTAATCCCTATCAAATCAACCAGTTGCTGGAACACATTCTGATGAGCCTGTAGATGGTATTGTAATACATTAATTGCTACAATTATATCGACTGAACACCAGATAATTCACAAAGTAACAAGTTCCAAAGAAAAGGGGCGACTCAATCAATTATTGAACTATTCCAAAGATTTTCTACCTAGGATCACGATGTAGTCTTATATCCACTTAGTATAGTTATCATCAAACTACAGGTCGAAATTTAAAATATTGGGTGGGAACAGAAAATTACAAGGACAGGGAACATCCCACTAAACATGCTTTCTGTCACACAATCTTATTTTAAATCAGAACTTAGCATACTTTCCATGATAATTGCAAGAATTTAATCAAACATTCAAGTAGAACTCACTTTTACATAGTTCATCAGCGGGACTGTCTTCCTCAACATGAGGCATATGACAACCTATATCCGAAAGAGATAAGATACATTGCTCGTTAGTGACAAACATGTGGAGGCAAAAAAACTAGAAAACACTAAGAACTAAAATTATAAAAATAGCTATTGAAAGTGTACAACGAAAACATTACCTTGCTGAAATACCCAGCTAGCATAACGCTGTGGGAACGGTTTGGTTCCAAAAAGGAGAAAAGCAGGTTCATTAGCTGCAACAGGAAGAATAAACTATTGAATGAGACCCGAGGAAAAGGAACGTCAAAAGGGAAAAAAAATACAAGTTTTGCATTTATCAAAATTAAGGAAGCAGAAAAGTAGTACAATACCTCCTCTTCCTCCACTAAAGTCTTAAGAATAACATCAATCTCACAAGTCAAAACTTCAGAGGAGATGAAAGGAAACCTAATAGAGAAACATGACTTAAGGTTAACCAATCTTGGTTCAAAATAGTTAGCAGAAATACTTTAAATAAAGTTCATCAGCAAAAGCAAAGGAGGTTATCTCTAACAAACAACAATGCACATACTTGAAAGCACGCTTGCTATCAGCATCTTCTGGAGATTCTTCGACAATAAAACGTAACAACTGTTCCACTTGGGCTCTTTCTCTCAGACTGCAAATGAGCATAGAAAAGAAAAAGCATAAAAGGCCAACATCGGAACCCTTGCTACTACTATGAGATACTATAACTTCCATTTTATACCAGGTTGGTCCTGCAAAGAAAACATTAGGTAGTATGCATTGCACTAGGCAGTGAATCTATCTACTTCTTGTGCAATATCTGCTGGCTTGCATATCTTTTCAAGAAAGAATTATATAGAGAGAAGACACATGTCATCATAGTACAAACAAAAATATACCAAAACTACACATAACTACAACGAGGTTAAATAGAGGACATCTGAAAGAATTACAAATTTATGAGCCGGCTGTTCAAAGCTCTGCATTCTTGGATTATGTCTTCCTCATCGAGGAGTTCTTCCAAAGTGAAGTCTTCCTTGTCTAATATAGACTCGACCTGTCAATTGCAAGTGGAAGGTAAGGAAAACGAAAGAAATTTTTGACAAGAACTCCTCAAAAACAGGGCTCCCTAAACTTTTTTCTTCTCTCTTCTTTATTCTCTAAAGTCTAAAATCTAAACTACAGTATCAGCTTCCAAGAAATTAAAGTATATGACTTTCCCTCAGAACGTCACTACAAATGAAATATTCTGGACTAATAATAGATAGGCGTCATAGATATGATATGGAACAATCAAGACTAAAACTCCGAAATCATCAGGAGTATGAAGCTATTTAGAAGGCAAAACTCGAAAAGAACATTGGCAAGGAAGAAAAACAACAAATTCGAAGCAGCAAATGTCATATGAAATCAAACGCTATATCGGGGATAAACAATTGACCTCAATATAAATCATTTACAAGCATGCCACAAAGAAGAAATCTTCAATTAGAGCTAATAGCTGACGAAAAATCAACAAAATCTCAAACATTTATGAATCTTCAACTCGCGTGGGAGCAAAAGCAGATAACAAAGAGAAGCGATTCAGAACACGACGAGTTCACAGGAAAAGACGATAACAATCCGAATTCAAACTTCTACTAACCGGTGAAGCAGCAGAGAGAGCAGTCAACTTCCAGAACATGGTGGAAGATACAAGCAGAAGAGGGGATGATGATGACGAAGAAGAAGACGAGCTAATTAGATCTCTTCTCAGACCCAAAATTCAATAATCACTGAAAATCTTAAGGCACTCGCCAAAAACTCGCCCAAAAGAACCCTAATTTGATGCTGGTGAAGAATGGAGAGGCACGAATGAGAAATCACTCAATTTTAGAAAGCGTCCAAACAAAAAAAACTAAGAAAAAAAATATATTATTGTTTTTGTCTCATCGAATAAAATTTGGTTAGACTATGATTGTGAACTGAAGTTGTGAGTCTACTAATTGCACGGTTGTACTTCCGTACTTGGAGTTGCGAGCGATTAGAGAAGCTTGGTTTAGGTTGGTTTAGTGTAAACCGGTTCTTAATTAGGAGAAATAGTATCGCTTAAAACTTAATTTGCTCAGGTAATAGGTCCATAAGCTGAATTCTCAGGCAAATTAAAGCATCGGAGAACAAAAATTGGGTCACGACAAACATTGATCCTAGAGCTAACCAGTAAAGCTGAAGCTTTTGTCTGGGCCACCAATTCCATTATGTGGTTGGTCCTATATCTAGAGTTATGGTTGTGTAATTTAGATAGTATGGTTTAACGAAGTGGTTGATCCAAGTGGCAAAATCAACGTAGCCGACGACTAGAGGCAGTTTTAACTTTTAAGTGGTATGTCAATGACATATTGACATGGTAGTCCAAAAGACTAATTCTGCGTATTTTCTTATCTAGAGAATTAAACAGTTTCTTAAGTGTTTATATATGTATGACTATGACCAGTAAATAAACAGACTTCAGGTGTATATGATGTTGGATGAATTGTGGAATGTGGCTGAATATTCTCAATCATACATCAGTTGGACCAAGCTAAGTTTATCTGTTAAGCTCTTAACATTAAAACCAAAAAAAAAAACAGCTAAGTTTATCTGAAATATAGAAAAACCACAAAACTGTATTTTTGTGTTAATGGATCTAATTTGTTTTCTCCTTTTGCATTTTATGGTCTAGTGGTCAATGTTCCATAATCCATTATCAAAACTTCTAAGCATATACAGATCAAACTCTGACATAGATGAAAAGTAGACTAAAGTATCAACTAAGAAGATAATTTTTTTCCTATATAATTGCACCATATGGTAAAAGAACATACCGATAATTAGAAGAAGAAAAAACAGATTACAGACAAGGACCCAAAAAACCGAAGTCAACCAAAAATGAGTAAAAAATTACTCTCTGCGGAATTTTGATTGCTCACTCTCTTAACAAACAATGAGAAGAGAGAGAGAGAGATCAGAGAAAAGACCAGTTTACAAACAAGAAAGCAAGACAATGAAGATTGTTGTCTTCAGAGTCAGCAAACACTTTCCATGAAACAGCTTGCTCGTACGAAACATGTCTCCCCATTGTCGACACACAGATTCCAGATGGTAAACAAGCAAATCCCTGCAACAACAGCAATAAATGAAAATCCGCATAAATTCTCAGACAACCATGTTTTTTTTATATTAAACAGACCATCTTTTATTTATTTTATAATCACACCAAATAAACAAAAAAGTAGATAAAAGAGTTTCTTTTGTTTTCACCTGTTGCATTAGCTTAGCAAAATCTGGACAGAGGGCTTTACGACCTGACTCGTCAAAGATCTTCTCCAATGTGATGTCCTGTAATGCGACGAGCGTTGTCTCCAACATGTCTAGACCCGCTTGGTTCGCAAACATGAACACTGGCTGTGGCTACAATGTCAATCAAAACCAGAGGTTACAAGATTTAGAAAATGTAAATATAAACCAAACTCTCTATTACAATCGCATACCTTCAAAGAGCAACACAAGATAGCATCTTGATGATCCCATAGCTGTCTTAATAGAGAATCACCTCCAAGTGAATCTGTCCTCAGCAAATCAGAGCCTAAATGGTGACTGTCAAGGCATTGAACAAGTCCCAAATAAGCACAAGAAACATAAGAATCTTACTATTAAACAAAAGATGGAAACTTTACTTGTAACTTTGGCATATCCACAGTGCAAGAGTAACAGCTTCAGGGGATCCCGGAGACAACTTGGAACAGGAAACCGTGTTTAAACCTGACGGTGAGACCGCCATAGCAACCCTCTGAACAGAGGAAATCACGCTCCGCACATACTGGCATGCCATATTGGCAACATTCTCTTGCAAGTTGTTCTCAAAAGGGAACTGAAACGCGATTGTGAGTATACACCGCGAGCTCGCGTTAGAGCCATTCTCTGCTGCCGAACCTACGTCAAGGCTGGAGGTTAAGTCTAACGTCCGGTGGTTAGCAGCAGTCAACAAGTCCTGAGCATCCCCCTGGTATCAATGCAGCAAAAATGTCATTTAGAGATTAAAAAAAAAAAAAACCATTTTTATGAATAAGAAAGCAGTAGTAATACTGTTTTGGTATCGACAGGTATAACGCGGAAACCAGAAGGAACAAGTGGAGCATCATCCGGAAACATCTCATTGATCGGAGCAAAGATTAGCTCTGAACAAGCTCCAATAGCATTTTCATCAATCCCGGTACAAATCTGCCATGCATCATTAAGTCACTTAACCTACTAAACAAGTAACGAGCCCCATTGTGTTGTTTCTTGAGAGATTTGTGGTGTTTACCTGTAGAAGATGTACGTCCCGAGAGACGAATGCGTCTTCTTGGACAAGAGAATGGCCTTCTAATCTAACAACCTCAAGCATCTGAAGCCATAAAAACCAAATAACATTAAGAACAAAACCAAATGATGTAGTAGATATTGTCTAACGCAAATCAGAGAGATTACTTCTTCGTTCTCGATTGTATGCCCTAACGGCATTATGACTTGGCTTCCGGTGAACCTTGTAGGCCTCATTCCCGGATAAGCAAAGGCACCAGCTTTCAGTGTGGCAGCAGAGTATGCATCAACATTGAAATCAGCCCACTCAGACCGATGCTCCCTTAGAAACCGAACCAGAACCGCAGGAGGAACATTCTACAAAAAAGGACAAATTTGCATAAAACTGTCTAAAGCTGCAACAGAGATGATTTGAGAAAACAATTATAAGAACTTACTTGAAGAAGCATTGAAGCCTTGGCACAGAGGACACCTCCAAGAAAAGAGAGGGAATCAGAGATACTATTCAAGTGCTTTGTAGAGTTAACAGCAACAATTATGTCTTCTGCTCCATTACAATGCATTATAGACCAACCGTCGTCATTAAACCCATTAACCGCATCATTAAAACCTCTGTTCCAAAAAGAGAAGAAGAAAACAGAAAAAACAAATCAAGTTCAAAAGAGCAAAAAGATACTTGCATAAAAATGGTAAAATGCTTATAAAATGTCAAACCTGCTCAATCTTTGGCTATAAGTTCTCAAAACTGCAGGTTGTCTTCCCAATCCGTATACAACTTCACCATTCGTCTCATGCGCTATTTGCCTGATATATCGCAACGCCTAAAACCAAAAACAAAAGACAATCATCATTTTTATAGAGCAAGAAGACAATCTTGAAGGAGCTTTAGTCTCATTTCTACTTACAGCAATTGTCATTTTCTGTGCAACTACTTTGGATGATTCATAAAGAGGTCGCAGCACGTCTGGTACACTCCAACCCTGCAAGAATAATGAATTGGAACCAATCTTTTGTAGGATGTTGAGGAACATGTAAAGAAGGATAATGATTTAGCTATATGTTTCGTACCTCGAGATTAATGTGATCAACAATGTGAATTATGGAGCCACCACCATCACAAGGCCTTATTAAATAGCCACTAGGAAGCATCTCTGCTCTCACAAACTGAGCAGCGGAAGAAGCATTAGGACCAGCTCCAGAACCGGAAAGAGACCTCTCACAAACCTTATAAAAGAAACCATACAGAGCATTTCAGTTACAAAAGAAAGATTTTATCATCACCAAGACACTGTGAGATAAGCTTACCACAAAACTGCCATTGTCAAGGCTTGTAGTGTATCTCAGCGTCCAGAAGTCACGAGCAGGAGCCAGAGTCGTCGGTGCATATGTCTGATAAAAATCAAACATTACTCAAAAATGTGATTGCAAGAAACAGAATACTAAAGTGAAAAGAAGAGCATCAGAAACAAGATTTTCACCTGCATGTAAACGAGCTCAATCGTTCCACCATTACCAGCAGGGAACATTGTGAACACTTCCAGGCTACGACAGTCACGGAACCAAGACGGTCGATCTTTAAGTATCTCAACAATCTGCAAAATTTATAAAGAAGAAACCCAAAAGTTTACTGACATCAGAAGAATAAAGAAAGAAGATTGGAACTTCGCATCTTGCATCTACTTAAGGTGTGACTTAGCAACTTCCTTTACCTTCATAGGTTCTAAACTAACAAGACCACACGCTCGAGCTGCCACGCCATTGCATCTTTGTGAAATGGCGAAAATGCCAACCGAATCCGGACCAGGCTGTAACACAATTACCTCTCAATACACATGACACACCATAAATACAACCGTAAGTAACAGTCTATTACCTTCATCCCAGGCATCTGGACCCAATCAACAGCAGTTCCTGTAGCCTTTGAAAGGAACTCTGTCAAGGTCTCCTCTGCAATCGCCAGCAACCTGAACAAAACAACACAAGTTGATCACATTCAACGCACAAGAAATAAAAGATCCGAAACAAAGTAGTATCACAACATGTTTGCTTTACCCTGCATGACTGTTTGCATCTCTAAGAGCAGGCTGAGGATTTGTGTCCACTGAATCGCAGCTAGCATCATTCACCTGAAAATTCAAAACACAATCAGAACTTGCAAAATACCAAAGGGATCAAGATTTGTGTTCTTTCTCTTTATTAGCACATACCACAGTGGTCAGCTGCTGCTTCATATATCCATTTTCACAAACAAGATGAGAAACCTGCTTTTGAAGCCTATCATTCTCCTCCATCAACAGCTTATTCATCGCTGAAAGTTTCCGGTTTACACTTTGCAGCCTCGATGCCTCTTTCCTCTGTTTATCTCGACACCTAAACCGTACAAAACCAAATCACCACACATTTTCAAGACAAAAGCAAGGCCAACAGTAAAATTGCAACTAAACTAATGAAGAGAATCCTAGAAAATCCAAATCTGGCCCTTATATCAAAATTCCCAAACAGAATCTAAATACCCTTTTAGGAAGAATCGAATCACATAATCTGGAATCAAACCAAAAATATTCTAACTTTGGAGTGAACACTAGACACTTATAAATTCAAACATCGAAATCCAACAAAAATTACAAATCTTTTGAGTACCTTCTGTTCTGAAACCAGACTTTGATCTGCTTGGGCTCGATATGGGCCAAAATGGAGCATTCTCTGATCAGCTGTTGACGACGAAGGGAAGTGGGTTTAGGACACTCTGAGTAAACACGCTCGAGAGCCTCCACTTGCTCCGCCGTGTACCTTACATACTTGCCGCTACTATCCAAATGCCGATTTATATTGTCACCACTCTCATGGTGATTCGCCACCGCCATCGCCATTATTTTCTTTTCTTTATTTCCGACGGTTTTTTGTACTTTCACACTGGGATTTGAGCTTCTTTAACCTCTTTCTCTTTCTCTAACTCGCTTTTTTGGTTTCTTCTTTTATTTTCTTCGGAGAATCCGTCGTTTCTCTTAAGAAACGGAAGTGAAATGTGTCGTCTCTCTTTTGTCTTTTGTTTTCTCCAGACAAAGAAGATTCTACGGTCGTGGCTTCTAGTGAACGACCAGAGACAAGTGGAACGCAAATTTTGAAAAAATAAACAGAGACCCAAAAAAAAAAAGTGTTTTCAGACTTGTAAACAAAAAAAGAAGAAGAAGTTGAGAGAAAGCTTACGGAAGATCTGAGAATTTTTTTAAGAAGAAAATACCGAAATCCACCATAAACACTTCCTCTTCAAGATTTTCCGGTGAAAAGCAAAAAAGTGTTTCTCTTTCTCTGTCAAAGAAGAGAGTCACGGCGAGGTTGAATCATTATTAGGACAGAAGCAAAACATTGGGAACCAACAATGGAAGAAGCAAAGCCAAAAAACAAAAGACCCAAAACTTTACCAGTCAAATCAGAACCAGAATATAACCAAAATACATTGGAAAAAAAAAGAGCTCTTTCTTTTCCTGAGAAGATGAAAGAAAACAAATGTTCTCTGAGTAAAATTAAGGAAATAGATAGAGAGAGAGAGAGAGAGAGAGAGAGAGAGAGAGAGTAAGTGATCTGTGTCTCTGGTCTGAACATCGAACAGTGAGAGAGAGAGAGAGAGACAGGGAAAGGAGTTTGCACGCATACCGACAAGCTGTGCCATTTAGCAAAAAAAGAAAAGTTAAACAAACAAATTTAATTAAATAATACGGCGTGCATTTACGAACTTGTCCCTACTTTTATTGTCTGAAATGACAATATGTAGATCCAACTACTGCCCCTCTTTGCCCTCTCTATGTCAATTTATTTATGTCAACTGATTTGACCCAACGCTCTTTATTCATTTTTCTTAACCACTGTCGTTTTTCAACTTTTTAGTTTTTATTTTATTTTAAACCATGAATATATTTAACTAAATCATTTTTTAACAAATTGTGTATTACAAACAAAATAAACCCTGTTTGGTATAGTTACTTGGACCCGAACCTCATGTTCTCATTATGTTTTGAAGCTACACTTCAAGAAAATTTATCACCTATAATGGCTTCACTTCTTATTTCCTACTCTAGCTCAAGTGGAGTAATCATCACCTCTTGTTTAGCTACTCTTCAGAAGCATGCGCCTTCGAAACTAAGGTTCAAACCTTGGAACTACATTAATTCATTTCAAGAGTAAGACCACGCTCCTCGCTTGGCGAAGCTTCTTCTTTGTACTAGCCATATCCGGTTTTGTGTAAATAAAAGATGATAAATTTGCTGAATAGGCAGTTTTTTATTTATTTTTATTTGGAGATTGGGTTTGGTATGCATCTTCTGTCTACCAAATCATTGGAAATAAACTATTGGCTAATCTCCAATGAAATTGCAGAATCTACAATATTAGCTTCTTTAACTGACCATTACTACAACAGTTCACAGATTCAAATTAGGATTCGTTTAGTTACATTATTTAGAAATGTAACTAATATAATGGTCAATAATATATGTCTAAGAAACGACAATGTTTCGCAAATGGCCGAATTATTTAGTTGAAGGAATTCAATAAGAAAAGTACTTGGCCAAGTGTACGTTGTACCCAAAAAGAAAACATGTTTGTTGGTCCATTGCAATCAAAGACAATTGATGACAAATTGTCTTAAACGATTCGATATTTGATAAACGGTGTCGATAACCACCATATTCATCACAATGAAGTCATATATGAACTTGAGATGACAAAATGATTGTTGATGTAAGAACCTTTGAGAACAACAACAAGAATCGATCTAGGTCGATAATGAACCGTAGAAAGAGAATGAAAGCAATAGTAAACTATGGGGTTTATTTCAGGAACATATACACTGATAAATATAAGAAAACACAAAACGCAAACGTGCAAACAAACAGACTACTACTACTACAAGAAAAAAATCATCCTAGTGACCAAAAGTAAATATATGATTTTGGTCCGAACAGTAACGCGTGGACTATTGTTTACTCTATTCATGTTATAATGAAAGTTTGGAGGTCGTATGAAAGTGGTTGCGACAAGTCTCAAAAATATGACTATGCACGGAGATAAGAAACTAAGAATACGATGTGATCACCATTAAATTCCACATATAGTACAAGCTCAATTATCGCATACATGTTGTGACAAAACATTTGAAACAAAAATCCTAAAAAAAAAGTCAAAATGCCCCCATCCCTTCTTGCTTTTACAATTTCCCATTTTTCCCATTCCAGTGTTCATATTTCACTTTATTTGAAAATAGATTGTTTTCTTTTGTTGGCCTTGGAAGAGCTAATATTCCACCACTTTGTCCCACCCACAGAGTTTCCCCATTAAAGTTCCACCTCAATTTTCCCTCTTCTTTTATGAATCTATGTAGAGAATATCGATTATTTTAATTTTGGAAACATCGTTTGGTTACTTCTATTGTTCTGTAATTTTACTTTAAAGGAACCTTGTGATGCTCATTTACGTTTAAAGAAAGAATTATATTACTAGATGTTGGAATTTTTCTAATGTTTTATCACGTAATCTCTTAACTAATTGGTTTCTAGAAGATATGTCACAAAATGACCATTGTAATATTTTGGTTAAAATAGACCAAGACGACAAGACTTGACCATTGATAGACGGTGGCGAAAAGACTACTGATGATAATCACATATCAACAATGGTTAACTGGTCACAACTTTGTCACTGATAGACACATATTAACGATGGCTATATTGCAATGAACGACCACCACTGATCCGGCATCCGTGGCTATATGACTACTGAATTGTCAATGTGTCGTTGGTGGTTCTATCGCCATGGTTTGGTTACTGATTATTAGTTACTATATACTTAGCTTACTTGCATGATATACCACTAAACCTGATTATTGACGTCATCTTTAGATACATGCATGATGCATCTTTTGCGACTTGATTTTCTTGACATTCGTGATATGCTCAACGTTAATATTTAGTATTGCTCTTTTGGCTATATCATCAGTTCACTTTGAGGAACGTACGCAACCATTTTGTATATGTGAAATGATTGTCCCTTCTTGTTAATCTATTCATGAATCATGATCATTTCTCTTTTATTCTTTTACTCGTAGACAATTAAGGTTTTCAAAACCAACTAAGATAAAAGCGGATCGATGACAAATCTGTTTATAATGGATTATTTGTATGATTGTATCCCGAGTCAAAATATTCTTATTCATTTATTGGGATATTGTAGAGGTTAATGGGTCATGAGGCCTTAACCTCTAGAGAGTGTGCAAGATAAAAGTCCCACATCAGAAAGTGGGAAGGACCTTGAGTAATATAATTGGTAATAGGTGGAGAGGCCTCAGTCCCTTATATATTATTCAAGGTCAATTAGTAATAGGTGGAGAGGTCTCAATCCCTTATATATTATTCAAGGTCCCTCTCACTTTCCGATGTGGGACTTTTATCTTGCACACTCTCTAGAGGTTAAGATCTCATGGCCCATTAACCTCTACAATATTCCAATATCGTTACTAGCTCTTTGCTACTGAGTTTACATAAAAACATTTCCCGGAAACATAATTTCCGCTTCCTTGCGTGACAGAAGGAGTTCAGGCTTAAAGAACAATTGCAGTTTTATAATATATATACGAAAAAAACATTCCACTTGTTAGAAGATAAGAAAGATGCATGCCTTACATTGATTAATTACCTACTTTAAGCGTCACTATAGAGCACTTATCAATAATATAATCTAAAACTTTTAAGTCACATTGATTAATTGCTGAGCTAAGCCTTACTTCACTATTGAACAAGCTTTTAGGGTTTGAATATGCACGAAACCAACCGCATTTGTTATGAACACACTATATATAGTTCATAGAAACAGCTTATAGATGTCTAGTAAGAATCAGCTTAATTAGTTAACAAATACAAAGAGAGATTTTCAAAGTGTATATGAATTTTTTTTCTTATAAAAATAAAATAGAGTAAAGGCAACGTGGTGTAATCATAATCTCTGACGTATAGGTAACATGCATGGAGCAAAGCAGGACCATTATATTTCGTCGATGCCTTGATAAAAATTTGATGTACTTCTTTTCTCTCGACAACCATACAGAGTTATATAGTATTCCAATTGCGTATGCAATGGATGCGTACTATTGTTTTCGTGAATCATAAGTTACATGTAATGTACATACAGTATAACTGAATGCAGGAGTTGGAATAGACAAAATGTAATGATGATATCATTAATGGTTTCGGTTTTTACTCGTTCCATATATGGAAACATCCTTTATTCGACCGACACTAGGTCTCACAACATGCTATATGTAATGTATCCAACAATAACCATCTCAAAATAATTGTACTTACGTAAACTTAATTTTATGTCAAAACATTTTAGAAAAATCGTTAATCGGGATAATTCAGGCGGAGTTCCAGAGAATCACAATTATTTGGTTGTTTTTTTTTTAATTGGTTTACATTCATTCATCAGTTTATCTTAGATATTTATTAGTCACTGTAATATCCGTCTGAGGGGGTTTAGACATCGTAAAGACACTTGAATTGATTATTGAGGGGTTCAGTTCAAAAGATCAAAAAAGTCATAGAACATCAACATATTAAATTTTGGTGTACACAAATGTATTTGGGCTACAATGTAAATTGAGTTGGGCTTTACCAACCGTGAGCTCATTCACCTTGTCGTAAATTTGTGAAAAAACTTGTGGCTTCATAAAATGTTTGCTGAATTTAAAATACAAAGATGAACCGGTTTTCTGAAAATCAAAGTGGTACTAATCAAATCAATCAATGATCAATACCTTAAAAATTGAAAGTCTGAAACTCTACGTAGGTATAAACCAGTTACCTTAAGGTACCAATATCAGCAGAACCGATTTTTTTTTTTTAACCAAAATCAACAAAACCAATGTATTTTTTTTTTTATTTTTTTTTGTGTGTAATTTGTTAGACATATTACGTTATGGTTGTTATGATGAGGACCAGACCTTAAGGTTGTATATGAAATATCTGTTTTTTTAATAAATGAGTCTGGATATATCGTTTTCTTAGAACAATTATTAAAAGGACTAAATTTGTATGTTGTTCACTTGTTCATCACTTTATGCTATAAAAATTGGCCTTTCGGTATTTTAAAGGGTCGATCGTTGTTCAATGAAAATGAAAACAAGCAATGCTTACATTCATGATTGGAAGTTGAAGCTGACATGACCAAGTCTAAGTCATAAGAAACAAATTATATTACTAGTTTGTTAGCTCAATTTTTTTATATCAATATTGACTTCATTTCGAAGGCTTATTCTTGAATCTTGATGGTTTCAAGTTTTAACTCCCTAGAGTTTCAGTATATATGAAAACGTACATAATATATTTTGACGTACTCGATATGACAATACAATTATATATCCTGTACGTACAGGTCGGGTCCAAAAGAGGATAAAACAGTCCATCTCGTTTTGAATAAGTTATTTGATCACTAAACTGATGTATGTTTAACTCGAAGTATATATAAAAAGAAACTGTCTCGATGGTACATAACATAGGAGAACCTGGCTTTGGATTATCTATTGTATTTGTATACATATGTTATATTATCTACATATATGTGTATTGTGTGTCAGTGTGTTATGTAATGATATCTAATACGGATGGGTGCTTACGCAGCACTTTAACACGCAAATACATTAATCTTTGATTGTTAGTGAAAGTGGTTAGTGGCCACTTCTAAAAGTAGCGATTTGTTTTATTGTATAGAATAATTGGGACATCGTTTTCTCTTACACATGTTTAAAGAAAAATGAATTAAAATTTCTCAAATCCATATCAGATCTGAGTACATGATGCAAAGTTAGATGTAAATTAATATTGGATATCATAGGGGTACAACCATTGGTTTGGACGATGGCATATGAGTTCAAGCCATCAAGACATTGTTATGTTTTTGTTGAGACAACAAACAACAGTCCAATAATGAAACGAGTGGCTTTCATAACCAGGAAGTAACTTATTTTCCAAGGGTTTTGAAAGAGAATTGATGTTTAATGAATTGTTGAGACCACTGCCCGTGATAATTGTATCGTCGGTATACGGTAGGAATGATACAGATATAATTTCCATCAAATTTTTGAGCTCAAGTTACGACACTCGTGGAGTTTGGTTAAGACTACAAGAGATCTTTGTAACTTAATTACACACATAAGAAGGATTATATTTATCAACAACATATATAAGTTGAGCCATGTACAACACATTCTCATGCAAAAATTCCTTTGTAGAAAAGCATTGTTGATCACGAGTTACGGAGTTAGCAAGGTTTCTTCAACCACGAGAGACAGCAAATGCCAATAACAGTTTGAGCAATGCATGGTTTTGTAACGTTTGGCGGAGCCACGTGGACATAAATGGATTTCCAATCAAAGTGTAAACTGAATTTTGTTTTCCAAGTGAAAATACCCTAAAAAGTATTTAGATACAATACAATTAAGTATTAAATATGTCCATAATGTAATTTTAATCAAGATCACATAAATTGCATGCCCCTTTGAAAAACAACAAACCCCATCACATCATTTTCATTCCACAACTTCTGCTTTTACAATATTTGATTAAATTGTCAAAATCCAATCTCAATCTATAGTATTACATAAACATAAATGTAAAAATTGTAACAGAACTTAAATGCACAGTCATTCGTGGACAATGCATATGCAAACGAACTTGGACGGAATGTGTCAATTTATTGTTGATTTTGACAAGAAAACATGCATAAAATATCTTAGAATTTCATTATTTGAGAATAATTCTTTACCAAAACAAATGTCACTTTCATGTAATCGCAACCTCTGCTTTTCTTACCAACTCCACCCACATAAACCAAAAAACCCCACCAATAATTAAACTGTTTACCCTTCTTTCCTAATATATTCGTTTTTGACCCCACAAATTTTGTAATGTATGAATTTCCCCGATTTGGAATTTGTTAGTACAGTGTATAAACAGTACAAAACTTCCTGCTGAGGAGGTAAATTAATTGGCAAAACATTTTTTCCAAAATTATCTCAACAAAGCTACAACTTTGCAATATTCCGAAGATTACAGTACATAGAGGGCATTTCTAGAAATACTATGCCTCTTCTCAGAAGTTATTTGTAAAATACCAAAAGTATTTAAACTAACCCAAAAAAGGACATTATACTTTTCAGATATTAATCCAAAATCCCAATCTTTTCAAAAATTGCATTTCTAACCCTACTCAGATCTCTCCCTTTCAATGTCCTCCCAACTCCTTCATGCACCGAGAACGAAGCCATTCTCGTCCTCGCCAGATACTCATGCGGCGGCAATCGTCCTCCGTCCATGCAATCGTCGTCATCGTTTTCGATGCTTCTCCGGCGGTGATGGCGATTCTCCTCGCGGAGAATCTTCGACCAGTCCGGAACGTTCACCGGAAGAGAACCTGCCGTCGTCGCGGTGACTTTAGCCGGGGAAGACTTGACGGATTGTTTGATTCCGTTGCGGCCGGATTTGAATAGGTTCCTGCGAAAATCAGGCGAATCGGAGTAGAGATCGGACTCATCGAACTCGAATCCTGAATCGGAGGCGACTTGGTAAGGCCGATCTGTGGGAAGGAATCGATGACTCGGACGTTGGTAATAAGTCTTTCCCGTCGCCATTGAAGAAGAAGAAGAAGTTTTCGATTTTCTTTTTGGGATTTGAATTTGGTTTGTTGTTGATGAGAGAAGACTTGAGAGGAGTCTCTCTGCTTTTATAAATGTTCAGTTGTAAATGGATAAGGGACCCGCTTTTGCTTTCTTTGTTAACTTCTAGTTTCCGTTGGTGAAAATTACGGAAATGTCTTTTTTCGTGGAAGTGGGAATATTGCAAACGGCGCCGTATTGTGGTTGTGGAATGTTCTCAAGCCTTTTGTCTATAAAACCAAACTGTATACATTAATTTTCGCCTAACCTTGTTTTCTGAAGTATGAAGATTTTTTCACGTCAAAATAAGAAAGTTGTAGAATTTTTTGTTTATCTAATTTTTTTTTTCATTATTTTTTGCAGTTTTCTAATTATGCACCCACCAACGAAAACGTTTTTCTTTATATTTTTTTGTAATATACTATAGTTAACGTTTAAAGTTTACAAATCTATAAATAATCAATGCGAGCCCCTTTCACGGAAAGGTCCAAAACCATAAAGCTACTGCGTGTCGACGACACAGTGGTCATTCAACTGTCCAATGGTATGTTATTTTACATATTTTTGTTTTTAGCTTCAATTATACATTAGCTTAATTTTGAAATTTAGACGTTTTTAGTAAAATATCTTCCTCTTACCCTTTTTTTTAAGGTTTACCAAAATATATTCTTAAAATATCGTTTTTTGCTTTTCTAGAGATTTCTGAAGAATACAGTGAATGTTCTACGTTAATTACAAGTTCGAGAACATTTAGGGATTTTAAAGAAAAAGATCAACTTTGCACGCACAATTGGCCTTAATCGTTTGTTAATCATCTGTGAGAAGCACTAAACTATGCATGTCCTCAACCCAACCAAAAAACCATGTTTGTCAACCATTGCATTTGGAGCAAACAGTTGGTCCACTGATTCATTCATGCTCACCCAAATATATACATTCCATTATATAGTCAATATCCATTAGCAAAGTGCCATATATTACAAAAATCTTCAAAGACTACTAGAGAGGCCAAATAAGCTGCGAATCCAAAACAAATATAAGACAAAGTGATAATGATTCTTCTCGCAGTAGAAGTGCTACTAGATCCAGTAGTTGGTGATACCAAGCTCGTAAGCAGCTCGTGCTTCTGGACTTCCGAATTTCGGAATTCGGAATCCTGGACTTCGGAGTTCTGGAACAGTAAGGGCAGGCTCCTTCTTCGGAGCCTTCTTTGGCTGCGGTGGTGGCGGCCTCGGCCTCGGCCTCATCCACAAGAGAGGCGGCAGAATCAAGGAATGCTGACCAAACAGAGATGCCCGTGGAAGCGGCAAACGCCTACCAGCCTGAATTCGCGGTGGCTCTTCCTCAGCAAAACCTCTTGACGCATCTTCAAAATGCCTACAATCGACGATAACCATCTCTGCTGCCACGTCCTTCTCCTTCACACAGCCAAGACGGTTGAAAAAATCCTCAACAACAGGGGCCAGATCATCGGGCTTTCTCAGAACGTCGTCTATCTCATGCATCAAATACGAATACGCCGTGCAAAGTCCAATGAGAAAGCTAAAAGCGAGCCTGCTCTCGCTTTCCTTGGTAAAGTGAAACTCAGGATCCGTATCCACTCTCTTCTTCAAATCCATCCAGAAAGACTCACCGTACTTTGCCAAAAAATACGCTGTGAGCTTCATAACGTCGAGCTCCCTGCGCATCATCCCTTTGGGAACTCCAAAAGTAAGCGACACAGTCCAAGGATCCCTGATATCAGGCAAAAGATAGGGTGGTGCTTCTTCATATTCTTGATTATCCTCCCCATAGTATTCAGCAAGCTTGGCCTTGTAATATATGTGATAAGGATCCGATTTTAACAAGAACTTGTAGTCTTCGCTTTTCGTACGCATCGTACTCTCCTCCATCATAGACTCAAACTCCCATCCGTTTCGGTAAACCCCATATACCATCTGCTCGACCTCAGCTACAATCTCTGGTGGTGGCTCAGATTGGTTTGAATTGTTCTTCACCGATTGCAAATCATTCTGCCTTGGGCCGGACATTTTCTCTGAATTGTTCTGAATGATTATAAAGATGAGTTACAATGCTTATATAGGAAAACCAAAACCGACTAGAGAGCTTATCATAATGTAAATTCAAAACCAAAAAGGAAATTAGCCAATTTTATGACTTATCTAATAATGCATGTTATCCTTTATCATTTAAAAAAAAAAATCTAAGAGCGCCCCAATATTCTAAGATATCAACTCGAATCAAAACCATTCATATTCCCATGTGGAGAAGCCAGAAATTAAATACCGAGAGACTCAGATCGATAGGGAAACAAAAAGCCTTATTTAACCAAAAAAAGAAAAAGAAAAAAAACCAAACAGCCTTAGAACTACTTAGGGGTTCGGAGAGAGACGAGAGAAACACCACCGTACCTTAGACGCCGACAAGAAGCGGAGAACAATTCGATGGAACGAAGAAGACGAGAAAAGATAATTTGAGCCCTCCCTCCTGCCATACATATTTAAAAAGCCAGGACTTTTCCCAATGGGCCTTTACTAATTGGGCTTATTGTTCTAGTCCATAATAATTTGTTCGTAAACATTAATATTGTCGGTGTAAACCGTAAACATTAATTTGTTCCTTTTTTTTTTTAATCTCAAACTCTAGCTAACACAAACAAAATGCTACTACTATAGAAAAAGTGTAAACCGTAAAAAGTGTCTCTTTTATTTTTGTGGTTAAAAAGTGTGTATAGGAGGAAATGCGAACAACGTTCTCTATTACTCTTTCTCGTTAACCTTGTTTGTTTATAACGCCAAAACGAATTTTAATGAATTTTTCATCTCACAATTTGAGTGCTTTAGTTTACGTAATCATATAAAATAGTAACGTGAGGGTCAGCTCTTCACGCGAACCCCACGTGCCGATTTCCCGCATCAAGCTCTCGCACGGTTGTTCAGTTGTTCTACACATCAGCCCACCACCAGTGTCTTTCGAATTTAAATCTAACCGATCCACTGTTTCGCACCGTTATCCATCATCATACGTATCCTTACGTGGCAAAATCCTATTAGTCTTACGCTTTTCGTAGCCGCAAATCTAGCAATCGTAAATATTCATTTCATTTCTCCTTCTCACTCCAAAACCAACTTTTCTGTTTATTAATCACTTCATCTTCTTCCCCTCTAGATCTCATCGCCACTTTCTCAGAGAGATCTCTCACAGAGTGGAAAAATGAAGCTCGTATATCTCATTGCGGCTTCGCTAGTGCTTGTACTCGTCTCCGGCGAGATTTCTACTAAATCATCACCGGCTCCGGCACCGGATCTACCCGTCGACGCTGCAGATTCTCCTCCAATCCCCGCACCTTCACCGAAAGTTGGATCTCCTTCTCCGATTGAATACTCTTCTCCTCCGGAACCGGAAACAAAACACTCTCGATCTCCATCTCCTTCTCCGTCAGACTCTCCATCGATCTCTCCGCCGTTGCCTTCTGATGATCATCCATCTCTTTCTCCGCCTCCATCTCAGTCTCCGTCTCCATCGCCTGAAGCTAGCGATGTGAATCACAGCAGCGACATTACCGGAGTCGAAGAGAAAAAGACATCGGGAGGCGGTGGAATGAGCAGCGGGACGAAAGCTGGGGTCGCGTTTGGGACGATCGCGGCAGTGTGTGTGGTTGGAGTCGCCGGATTTGTGTACAAGAAACGGCAAGACAATATTCGCAGATCTCGGTACGGTTACGCCGCCAGAGAGATTCTGTAAAGTGAGAGAGAGAGCCCGGCGAGGATGATATAGCTTGATTTAGTTTCTTTATTCGTTTTACTTGGAATTCGAAGAACATTTATTATTGGTACATTTTTTTAAAACAAGTCCGTATGAGATGATCATCTCTGAAGTTATTTTCGGCTTATTGATTCCCGAAATCCTTTTTATAAAAAAAAAAAAGTTAGTGAGTCATCATTCATAAGTGATAACTTCTATATTTATGTTCAGTTGTTCAATAATTTGGAAAGTACTAATGCGTTTTATTATAGAGTAATTGAAGTTGGTCATTTATTTACAAGACGAATTACAAAATCGTAAATAGATTTGTTAACGGACATGTTTTTATAAAATGAAATCACAATATTTATAACCTGATGATGTCCTTAACAATTAGAACCAAAATATTTATGAATTTTACTACTTAATTGCGATATTAAAACCACAATATTTATGAATGTTACTACTTAATCGCGATATTACAATCATGTCATATTCGCAAATCTATATAATTGAAAGAACTTGTGACACTCTCCAGCACCTCCAGAGAGTACCACATCATCCCTTCATTTATTATTTAACCCTCTTTATTTCTGTAAAACGCTGTCAGAATTTAAGTCAGATTTTCTTATCTCGTGGTTCCAAAACGACGTCGTTTTTAAATGATTCTTAAGGCCTCCAAAACGATATCGTATTGCCTCAGGGAAAGCGATTCGGTTGCTCTTGGTAGATTATAAGGTTAGACGCTACACTTTTTACTCAAGTTCCTCTATCTGCCACTTTCTCGATTTAACTCCGGCGGGACTGTTAATCTCCAGGACTCCCTCATAGAAGCCGTTCTTCCAGGAAAGCTCGATCCCTTAAAGTGTTTTCTACGCTTTGTAGATATGGCTTCAGCTGCGTTTCTTGAGCCTCTTCCACTGGAGTTTGTACTTTGTAGCACAGCTTCTTCCGAAAGATGTCTTCACCAAACCGTTGTCCAACTCTGATCGGGTTAAGGTACAATTCTCTTCACTGTATTATCTATTGCCTCGCGTCCATCAATGTTATGCTCAACATTTGTGTTCTATTTCGGGGATTTAACAGATTAAGAATGGTCTCAGGGGAGTCAAATCGAGAGGTTCCTCATAGAGCAAACATGAGAAGGAAACATCGTCTCGCAGGTTCAACAACTCAACCAACAAGAGAACTTATGTGAGAATTTCAAAAAGTTATCACCTTTGAAATTATTTAGGGATCACCTTTGTTCTGCAAAGCTCCTAAAAATCAAAGCTTTTTGCTTTGGCTAAACATGATTTTGTTGGTGTGGTCTTATCTTCTTCAGGAACAAGTGTTAGCAGAGGCGACAATATAATGGAAACACTAAGCTGTACAGAGGCTTTTGGAGAAACGAATGAAGTCTCTGTCGAATGAGCTTAACTTTAAGAATCACACGGTCAAAGTGTTTCCGTCGAAGTCGCATTTTCAACGGATGATTATGGTGAATGCTATTGAGACAAACAATTGCAATGTTGATATTCAATAGTGGGCACATAATCTCGAACCTTAATTTTAAAGTTGACTTCTTTTCCTATTATTGATGATTACTGAAATTTTACCTCTCATTCGTTATGGATGTTCAAAGTGGAGATTAGATGCATACGTCTTTTAAGAGAAACAAAAGAGGTCTACAGGTTTATCTCATGTCATTATTGCCTGCTGTTGCAGCTGAGGATAATGATGGTAACATACACTTGGGATCAACTACTGACTGCAATGGTTTTGGAATCCCTAAGAGTTTAGAACTATTGACTTGAGGTTGGCCGCGGAATTCAAATCTATCGCAAAAATCCATATCTAATCCACGCTTCCTTACCTTTGGTATGTAACTTTTAAATTCAACCGGTACAAAACGGAAGTCTTTGTTGGAAAAATTTGAGTATATATTGTCGATGTAATGGAAATGTGGCAAAGGTAAAGACGAGGGAGCTCGTGAGTTGCATTGTGGATGCGTAGCCGAAAATTTCAGTTCGAACAAAATAAATCATCACTTGAATTATAAGTTTACAAGGATAAAATATGTAATAGTGGATGAGTATTCTTTCTGTATATAATTTGAAGATTATATATAGTTCTTTAATTGTAACAATTAAAAAGGTTAACTAACACAAGAAGCATAATTAATGACGTCAAATCATGAAAGGGTTAATTAATAGATATCCATTCAAACTGTAAACTTTGACCAAAAAAATAAAGGAGTAATCTGTAAGATATTAAAAACCCGCGCATGCGCGGATGCTCTCCTAGTAAAATGATAAAATTTGACTATCTAGTATATACTACACTCTAGATTTAACCCAGACCAAAGTTAAGGGAGTTGCAATTAACATTATATTGTCGTATCAGACGTTATAACATCCAAAATGTCGGAACTTTCTCCGTCTCGGTGTACATAAAAGAAAAGCAAAAGGTAGTAAGATTTTGCTGCACAATCTGAGGAACAATACAGTCAAAGAAGAACGAAAGAGCACATACCTTAAAAATGTCGGAAAATATCCCATCTTTACCGCAAGAATCAGACCATGCCGTGTGTTTCATGGACAGAGAATATTTCTCATCTCACAGCCCCCCTTGCAGGCTTCAATAATAGCTTATCATACGATATAAGATTTCATATACTATATCAAAGATTTTGAGTCTTGTCTTGATTCTACACAGCAACAATATCAACATGGGGTGGGAACAAAGTTTACTTTCTCCAAACAGTTATATTAATCCAAGGATAACACAAAAGATCTTTTTATGTTTTCTACTTGTTTTGGTGAAACACAAAATAAAAAACTAACTAGGAAATTGATAACTAAACCAAACTGATAACGAAACCTTATAACTGAATCAACCTTGATAACGAAACCTTGGCACAAGAGCACATCCTCACCATTGATTGTTCCCCATGAGACAGACAACAAGAAGCATATGCCAATAGTCACGTCGAACTGGAGGATAGTAGAGGACACCATTTTTTTTTTGTGAATTATGAAACATTTAAAATTCATTTTTACATTTTAATTTATGTATAAGAAAAAAAACAGAACCTCGTATAAGTTCAATGTGCAGCTTTTGTGTTGAAAATCATTGAAAATGGATCACGGTGGCTAATCTCCGATGAAATTACTACTACAACGATTCATTTCATTGATTATGGTGGCGTATGGTGGATTGACAAATGACGGCCACAGTTACATATTCCTTTAATTGCAGATTATGGTGTACGAATCAACTTAATTACGAGTTTACAATCCGGTCACTTTCACACAAAAATGACCCAAACACGTTTTCTTATCTAAGGATAATAAAAGATGGGAAATTGTACTAGATAACAATAAAAAAACTAAATATTAAGAAGGGTACTAACCATATTGAAGACATGGCTAGAGTATTGTCTGTATTTATGTATTAATTACAAATTTATCCTCATGTTTTGATTTTTATTTTTCTATTCTTTCTCTTGTAATTACTGGAGAACTTTTTGTTTATTCATCTCTTAATTCTCACTCAACGGAGAAGGCAACGGAGAGTACAGTTTTCATGCCTTTAACTCTAATTTCACAAGATTACAAATCTTAGCAATTCTCAGCGAAGCCGCCGCCGTTCATGCATTAATTAGTGTGTTCTTCTTCCATCATTTTCCAGTCTTTTCCATTTGTAACTATACTCTATTTTTTCAGTCTATTCCATTCACAATTGCCAATGTTGACTACATCGTCTGAGTAATATATTCTGCTTATCCTTGAACTTTTACAGATTCAAGACTGTTTTGATTTATCTTTGGGTTCATGTAAGGTTTATATTACATGGATTTATGGTTTACATTTTGAATTTAGGGTATATAGTTTTGGGTTTTGGATTTGGGTTTAGGGTTTGCAGGTTAAAGTTTTGGGTTTAGGGTTTAATTTCAGAGTTTAGGGTTTAGAATTATATTTTTGGGTTTATGATTAAACTTTTGGTTAATGGTTTATATTTTTGGGTTTAGTATTTTGATTTAGGATTTAGAATTTAGAAGTTTTAATAGTATATTATGTGAGTTTGAGTATCAATGGAGTCACTAATGAAAATTAGAGGAAAATTTTATGTGTATTGGAGGAGAAAATTGTCCAAATTTGTTTCTCTTTGTTACTTTCTTAATTTTTCTTTTATGTTGGCTATATTCTTTATATTGGGTTCCAATATTGTTATTCACCCAATTAACCCATAAAAGATTAAGAGAAGAAAAAAAAACACAATCAAGAGTGTGCCACAAACGAACTTTTACAATTGGAGATAGAGAACAATTTGATCGCCATGTTTAAGTTGTTAACCAATGCTAGCTTTCAAGTTCTTCATCAGCTCTGCGTTTACACCAACAACAGTATTCCTGTATAGCTCCATCTTCTCCAGTGACCCATGGATGGTCTGCCACAGCTTTCAGTGTCATCCTCTGCTTCGGATCTGCCACACAAGTGAATAGCCTTTAGCCACATTAATACACAAAAGCCGATAATCTTAAATTTAAAATTTTACAAGAATTTCCAAACTCGTAGCGATAAAAACTGACACACCACGAAAATATTCAAGTCTTCGAGGTCACAACTCACCTTTGCAAAGAAGACCTTCGATCAAATCCCTGAGATGAGGATTCATTCCATCCGGTATCATCAACTGGTTGTGAACAATCTGCAACATTGGTGAAAATGACACATTGAAACATAAGAATGGTCTGCGTTATTCAAATTGTTTCTAGAGAAACGACTGTAAACTGTAAGGAAAAGTATTAGAGAGAGAATGAGAGAGAGAGCAAGAACCTTGTCATAAGTATCCTGAAGTGTGTCACCCAAAAAAGGGTATTGACCTAATATCATATAATACAAAGTAACCCCCACGGCCCATGTGTCTGCAGCTCTGCCACTGTATGATATACCTACACAACATTCTGGTGCAGTGAAGACAGGAGTCCCTGGAGATCTACGCAGTTGATCATCATCATCCTGCAATTGCAAATATAAAATTTGATTATGTCACATTACACATTTACAGAAATCAATGGAGATGGGATTTTCAGTACTTTGAATACTTGGCTGACACTGAAATCTCCAATCTTCACTGTCCCGGTACTAGTTACCAGCAAGTTGTCTGGCTTGATGTCCCCGTGAATGACATTCTGTTATTTTTTTCCATAGAGAAAGCAAAGACGACAAGGAGGAAAGTAATGAGTCTATCAGAGGAAACCGAACTGTGGATGAAGAAGCATTAGAGAGTGCAGATCATACATGAGCATGAAGGTACATGAGGCCAGCAACGACGTCTCGCAAGTACTTTCTAGCAGTATTCTCCCCGAGAGCACCCGGTGGTCCAGACTCATCGTAAGCCCATTTTCCATCAACGTATTCAAGAACTAGAAAAGAAACAAAACAAGGTGTCAATCAGATGACAGAATATTCATCAAGAGAGAAAGAATTGACGTAAACAAAAAAAGAAGAAGATGGAAAGACATACCCATGTAAAAGTCATCAGCCTCAGGGTCATCAATCACCTCAATGAGATTAACGATATTAGGATGCTCCAGGATTTTCATTATCATAACCTACAATGTGTGAGATATGAAAACATATAAGGTAAGTTCAGTAAAATGAAACCTGTTACACAAAAAAGGCAACTTAGGAATTTCACTATCTAGTTTTGAAAAACACAGATACCTCACGAAGAACATCCCCCATAGCAGTTTCTGAAGGTGCAACTCGTAGCCTTAATAAGTGTGACTTGTGAAAAGCCTGGACATCCAACATATATAATCACAAAAAGTTTAACCCCGTGATGTGATCGTTTAATGAAATAGCTATATAATCTGTACTATGTTTATCAAATTTCCAATGTCACATAAGACCAGCAAAACAAAATTAACGCTTTCCGTGAGATGGAAACAAAAGTATACCTTAACAGCATATTCTTTGCCATCCACAGTGCTCTCATATAGAACCTGTTATACATACAAACAACAGCGTTATGCATACTAAGACCCATTTTTTGTTCATTTTGTGCTTCTCTGTACTAAGAAACATACTTTTATTTATGCATAATATTTGTTTACTATCTATTCATAAGCAAATAAGTTTTCACACTTACCACTTTCCCGTAGCTACCAGACCCAATTTTACGCTGACGAACAAACTCATTAATCGTCTTGTTTCCATCATCATCCTGGAAACCAAATAAGAAAGGCATTTGCATACACACATCATAATACATCAAGCAGGATATTATGAGTTTCTATAGTAAAAGCACATTAGACATGAGCACAAGAAGTCGCATACCTCTCCACGTATAAGCTCATTAGTTTCCTTAACCGGAAACTGCCTGCAGATTAGTCCATTCTGCAACTTATACTTCAAAATTTCCTCAGATCGTTTGGAACGGCTCTGCTCCTCTACTTCCTCTTCCTCTTCTTCTCCATCTCCTCCCACATTTCTGTGTACGTCACCATGGTCGGGATACGTATTATCATCATCATCATCGTAAGGCTTTCGTGACTGTCTGGATCTCTCATTGCAACCAAAGCACCCAAAGCAACCCATCGCTTGGGCAAATGGAAAACTATCACGAAACATTATCTACTCCCAGAAAAACTCTCGTGTTGACTCTTGAAACAATTCCGAAACCTGTAAGAAAAATTGAAACCACAATCAAAAACCTGAATCCAGAGTTAAAACAAAAACAATACGAAATCAAATCAAAATCCAAAATCTTACTCTGCAAAATTATGATTATCTTCAGGGCTTCAAAGCCCGAGAAAGCTTCGTTATTCCAAAGGGTGCCATTCAGCAAGATGAGTAAAGCTTCTTGAGTTATCGAATCCACTACTACCGAAACGCAACATTTCGAAGCTCCACCTTATTGCAAATGGATTCAACTCTTCCTCACAAGCAATTTTTTGTTAGAGTGTGTTATATCCCCAATTCCTAAGAGATAGCTTCAAGCATCACCGATATAGTCAATATGGAACTCCAAGCTCCTGCAGAGAAATGGGATAAATTCCAGTTAAACTCGCCGAATTAGATTAAGATCATATTTGAGGTAAAAATCAAAATTTTGATCGAAATGGATAAAATTTATGCAAATTACAGGCATGAAAGTGAACATATCCATTGAAATTAAACATTCTAAGTATAGACGGTGACAAACATAGAAGATGAGAAGAAGAACAGAAGTCAACCCAGTATGGTGGCTTCGAATAAAACCCCAATTAAATCACAAATCCCAGGCGAGAAAACCCTAATTTCGATATGGGTGGCGCAGGATAAGCACAGAGCGATGAAGAGAAAAACACAGAGAAGAAGAAGTATTCCAAAATTTAAAGGCGATCGGATATTCGAAAATGGCAAGATGAGAAACAAGTGATTGAGGGGTACGAGTGAGAATCTTACCTTCAAAATGATTCGTAATTCGAACTCGATTTCGATTTCAAGCAGAGAATATGAAGAAAAGAGAAAATGGGAATTTGTTGCCGGTAGCTCGGGCTCAGAGACGTCGTGCGTGATATAATTGACGCAATATTCTCTCTCTCTGCAATGAGATTTGTAATTTTTTTTGTTCTTTTTGTCAACGAGTTGTTATTTTTTTGAAGTTTTGTTATTTTTGTTATGTTTTTTTCTCCATGAAGTTTTGTTATTTTTGTTATGTTTGTGCAAAATTTTGCAGAAATTGCTGTATGTTATAAAATTGTGCTTAATTTATCTCTCTCATCATTTATATTTTCTAATATACCAAAATACAAGGAATTGTAAAATAATAAAATATATTCAAATTTTTAAGTCAAAGATGGAATCAAATGTAAATAAATCTGTTAAGATAAATATATCTTTCTAAATAATGTATGTTTTCAGATTGTAGTACTTTGGTCTACATCTTACTTATTACATACCCAAAACAATCAGATTTGCAATATTATCAATTCCACTTATTGTAACTAAAAGAAAATTGAGTTCACATATATTGAACACTTTCATAACTTATATATTTAAGCACTTTGAGTTGACAAATTTGTATGATTTAGTTTTTCTTATCTAAATCTTTCTCCGGAAGGTAAGATATATGAATGAGAGACATGTACTCTATGCATGTACTATGATGTAATTAATAAACATTGTAGATTACCTACCTTAAAAACCAACCATTCAAGAGTTATAAATACTAAAGGAACAAATTGTGATTTTGCAAATCATACAAAACAATATTAAACAACGAGTGGAAACATGCAAAAAGTTTGGGCCACGACCATGTTGGCTCTGATAATGGTACTATCACTATCTATACAAACAAATGGAAATGAGAAAAGAAGCGATCTTGCACCTGCTCCATCATCGGCATTTGCACCTCAATCTGAGGATGGGTTACTTCCTAATCCTATAGCTTGTATTAAGGACATAAAAACAATTCCGAATTGTATAAATGCAGTGAAGCACTTCAGACTCATAAATGTCACGAAGAAATGCTGCACCATCCTACTCAATCTTCCCGAAGATTGTTTTGGGTATATATTCCCTGTTCCTTTCATTTATCGTACTGCCCTCAAGATGGCCTGCAAAATACTTGGTCACACATGAAATTTTTTGTTTGTATTATTTCCTCTATAATTGTCAACAATATGCAATAGTTTTACCAATAAGAAATAATATGTAGTTCATGGATTATGTATTTCATAAGGTAATTTATACCAAGAAGTTTTTGCTTCGTTCGAACATTTTTTTTGCTCTGATTATATCATTTAGGGAATACCAATTAATTCAATCGGGTTGTATACATACCGTTAGTTATCCGGTGTTTGTACCTTAATTGTTGGTCCAATTTTTTGTTTTCCTTAATGATATTGATCCCACCACCGACTCTAAAAATTAGGGTTTAGAAATACGCAATAGGTTCACTAATATCATAGCTTCATCACCTTATCTATTCAATCGCTCTCCTATATATAAACCTGAAAAATCGTCCCCGCAACAACAAGGAACGATGTCAACTAAGATGGTCGTGTTGAAAAACTCGAATGGTGAATCGTTTGAAGCCGAAGAAGCCATCGTACTTCAAACGCAGACGATAGCGCGTTTGGTTGAAGACGATTGCGCCAATAAAGGAATCCCGCTTGAAAACGTCAGAAGCCATATCCTGGAAAAAATGATCGAATACCGCGAGAAAGAGTTCCAGGATCTCATCAAGAAGTGGGACGCCGAGATCGTGAAAGTCAATGATCAGTCCACGATCTTCCATCTCATTCTGGCTGCCAAAAACCTAAACATCAAAAGCCTGTTTGTTCCACTACTGGCCAAACGCTTGTTGATATGATCCGGCGGTGTTTCGAAACGTTCAACATCGATAATGAGTTTACACGAGGAAGAAGAAGAGGTTCGCAAGAAGTATCAATGGGCTCTCTGAATGACCGGATTATCAAACTCTAACCAGTTTTATCTTTCTTTCTTGTTTCATTAGTTTGGCTTCAAATTTCTTTGACCAGAACAATTACTAGTGAGTTCATTTTATATCACATGTTTTAAATTTATAACTAGTTTAGACAAAATGTAATACCCCAATTTATTGAATTTGGTATTGAATATGGTGGTGTATGCGGAGAGGTCTAAATAATTGTTTTGAAGTGCACAAAACCCTTTTGAAGTTGCTTTTGAAGATGGCCTAATTAACAAACTAGTGCAATCGGACTAGTTAGCAAAATGTGGCTAATGGGCTTCATAACATAATACTTATTTTGCTATTTCGATAGAAAAATATTTTCCAAATGACAGAAAATAACGGATTTCAACAACAACTTATACCTATGGTTATCAGGAAAAAATTCTAAAAGTTTAACCTTTTGCTTGCAAGAAAGTGAAAAGTACTTCAAAGTTTTAACATAACCTACGTACGTACACACTTGTCCTCGGTTCTTTTTAGAGTCTTTCAAGATTAAAGCATGAAATAATTACAAGAACAAAAAGAAAAAGAAAAGGGAAGAATATGAAAAGACATAGCGTATGGTTTGGTGTGCAATGTATGCATGGTCAGAGGTTTCGCCATGCATGCAGGAGTGGACCCAAATAGCCATCTTCGTCAAGCGAGCGGACCCATTGCGCAGCACCGAGTTGACTCAGAGATTCTCTCCGAGTCAAAATCTCATCTCTCACGAATTTTCTTCGTTTTGTGTTGCCGTGTCCAGTTTATCCACTCGTCATTTGGGTTACAAATTTTAAGTTTTCTGCATTTAGAAAAAATCACAAACAGAGGAATCTTGACTCTTCTTCAAATTCATACATACATATAACAGAATGTTGGCTATATATATATTATATAAACAAACGATTTTTTTTACCAGATTATTGGTTCATGTCCGCGGTTGCTGTGCCGTCTGCGGTGGCCGGAGGTGACACGTCGGGAAGATTATGGTTGGCCATAAAAAAAGGCCAAGGACGGTTTTCACTTCCCACACCAAGAAAGTCTCTTGTGAAGCCTCTTTCATCAACTTCATTAGTTTTGATATTATTATCCATTTGCTTGTTGTTGAAGATAGGGGAAGTCATCAGACCAAAACCCGTGCTATTGTTGGAGCTTGATGATGGTCTCTTTGTTCCCATTTGAGCAGCCTTCTGTAGCAACGCAGTGGCCGACATGGATGCTATTACTTGTCCACCGTTTTGGTTATAACTATTGCGTGCCTCCGAAGAGAACAAAGAGCCATTACTTATTCCCTTCTTACTCTCATATTCCTCTTGATTCTTGGAGATTCCTCTTTGCAGAATGTTGTTGTTGTTGTTTCCGTTGAGAAGCCACTGATGTGATGATTGTCCTTGTAAATGCCATAGATTTTGAAGCGAATCGGATGCACTAGTACGAGGTGATGGCGATGATGAGGACGCGAAAACGTTGGTTTGTAATGGAAGCTGGTTGGTGTAGGTTTGTCCCAAGAAGGCATTGATGTTATTGCGATTGATATGGAAACCGGATTGGTCTAATTGAGAAGATGTTGTGTTTTGTAGTCGATCTTGATGATTTGGATTGATGTTTCCAAGGTTGACTTCAGCTGCATGATCAGCTGAAGGTATTGAGACGAATCTAGCACTCTCTTCAGCTAAAGCGTCACAAAATGCTCTATGTGTAATGAAACTATCCTTCCTGTTCCAGTTCATTCATCAAAGAGCCTAGCTAAATCAGTAATTTAACAAATATATATAACTAAAGATCTTGATTCGTAAGTCGAACTAGAGACATATAAGCAACCATAGTGACTTTATATTTTAGAAAAATGTGTTGCAAAGTTACCTGGAGAAGAGGGTTCCACAGTCACACTTATACTCTCTGGTACCACAAATCTTGCTATGAGCTTTCCAATCGGACATGACAGCATATTTCTTGGAACACTTGTCACATTTCCACTTCTTCTCACCATGTTTCCTGCTGAAATGCTTCTTGATTCCAGTTAAGTCGCCAAGGGCTCGAGCCGGGTCGTGGTGCACGCAGCTCTTCTCGGGACAGATGTAGACTTTCTTCTTCACTTCCTCCTTGTTCGTCCTTTGCTTTAGCTTCCATGGAAGGTTATGGCCTCTCCGGTGAAGCTGAAGGTTCTGGTCTCTCTTAAAACCTTTGTTGCAGACCTCACAGATAAATCGGTTCGTTGTCATGAGGGAGTTTGGCGATAGAGCGATGACTTCTGCATCTGGATCTGCTTTTTGAATGTAAATTTACCAAATTAAAACCAGGAAAGATCAAAATAACAAGGCAACCAACAAGGAAAGATTACAAGACAAAGACAAAATAGATCCAAAGTTGAAACAAATATTGTTCTTGATCGAACCACATAACAAAAATAATCATTGTAAACAAGTCTTTTGATTGAATATAGTTTTACATTCATTTAAAAAAAGAAATCAAGAAACACATGAATTTTGTTTGTTTAAAAGTTCAAGATTTGGATTGAAGGTATATATATATATATATATATACATGCCTGGATTTCCCGGGAGATTTCTCTTCCTCCTGGATGAGTTTGAGGAGGTAGGATTTGGATTAGGGTTAGGATTTGGTGTGATGTGTTCTTGGTGAAGGACATAGCTGGGAAATGAGAGGTGATGATGATCATCTTGCATCATCATGTTGATGTTGGTTTAGCTGAGAGAGAGAGAGAGATAGAGTTTCGAAGTAAGAAGACAAAACAGGTGGACAGAGAGAAATACAGAAACACTCTTTAATTTGTCTCACAGTTCTCTACTAAATCAAGTAAACATCTGAGAGCAAGAAGACAGAGGGAGTTATGAAGAAGAAAACAAGTAAGAATGTAAATAATTATATACTGACAGAAATATATAGTCTTAAACTTAAGTTTTATTTTATTTCGAAGCTCCAAAAAGAAAATTGTAAGATGGCTGCTTTCTTACGGCAGTTACAGTACAAGAACTTCAAATATTGTTTTGGAAATTTACATAATAATTTGTAAGCAAGTAGGAATTTGGACTTCATATAATATTCATCAGGTTTATATATATACAGAGAAATTATATTTCAAATTGACGAATGCTTTCACACTATTTTTTCTTAATAGAAATTCGAGAAGATTTATGGAGAAGATATTTCATTTGTTTTTGATGGGTTGAAAAATGGGATGGCCATTTTTTCCAAGAAAGTTACAAAAAGATTTTGGTTTTTTATTGGGTCGTCGGTACAATTTTAATATATATAAATTTTTGTTTTATTATTTGTGATAGTAAGCTTTTGGCACTAGCAAAGAGTCCTGTAGGAAAAGACCAAAAAGAAAGCTGGCGAAGAGGGAATCTCTCTCTCTTCACACACGACTGTTCTCTCTTACAAGTCGGTCAGCGACAGACTCAAACTGGACCACTGTCCATCTGTAATTCTCAATACGTATACTTATCTACGTAGCTTAAGTATTAAGTATATACACAGTCAAGTGTACGTACAAAACTATAAACATATGCATATATAATATACATACACAGTGTACTATATATATAACTTACCTAATGGTGTATGCATGAGATGTGTATCTTTGAATTTCATGGGATTTACCAAATAGGTCTTAAACTAGTGTTGAGCATCGGACTTTCAAAAGGTTGTGCGTTTGATACATTTTGGCTTGATTTGATTTTGGAAAGGAATTTAATGTTCAAAAACGGCCCATTAGCTCAGTTGGTTAGAGCGTCGTGCTAATAACGCGAAGGTCGCAGGTTCGAAACCTGCATGGGCCATTTTAAATTTGTGATTTTGATAGCCAAAATTAACGAGTTAAATGTTTTGCGACAGTTGAATTCTTTTTGAAGGTAGAGTTTGATGCAGCTTTCTAAAAGAGAAAATAGACACCAAGGGGAGACAATGTATGTAATGGATCCCACAGAAAAAAAGAAATAGATCTCATCTGAATGTTCAGTCAAAGAGATGACTGTTCCCTCTGATTTTTTTTATTGTAATTTTCCTATAGAAAACCAGAAATGATGTCATCATTTTCAATAGAGGTAATCTTGTGCTAAAAAGGGAAAACATAAACAGAGTCCGTATACGTAATCTCAAATTGTTAATGATCATGTAAGTGTTATTTGACTCAAGTTGATGATATCCTTGGTCTTAAATTTGAAGAGCGATCATTAATTTGTTAGTAATATTTCAATGGATGTTGATATAACATTTAAGAAAAAAAAGTCCATTGATTCTGATATTCTGCCAACTAAATAACGTTTACAGTTTGTTTGTCTTATTGGAAAAAAAAAAACTTTAGTAATAACAAACAGATCTCAAAACTTATCGTCGGGTGGGCATTTTATCCGGATCCGAAAATCCGACCCGATATTTACCCGAAAATATCCGATCCGGATCCGATCCGATTTTGAAAAATACCCATTTGGATCCTTTTCTTCTCTCCATTCGGGTACCGGGTAATACCCGATAATACCCGAGACCCGTAAACGTACCCGAAATATCCGCACAATCTAAACTGACCCTTACCTGCATTAGTCGATTCGATTCCACTATCTCCATTCCCCGCTATTTTCGTTTACATGATCTTCAATATCAAATCCCAAACTGAAAATCTGGAAACCCTCATTCGATTTTCTCATCCGTCTCCTCCATCAGAGACGTCAAGAAATCATTCAAAGGTGATCTCAAATTCTTTTCTCTTAATTCTTTTGATTAAGTCTGCTTTGATTTGCTTTCCGAATCCTGAGTTCATAATTTGTTTTTGAAAAATGTATTGTCATGTTTCTGGTTTTTATGTTCAGTTACTTAGCTTTTGTTTCTTTGATTCAATTCAGTTTGCATTGTCGATACTCGATGTTATTGGATTTATTTCTCAGCTTAGCTTATAATTTTTAGTTTAATTCCAAGTCTTCTTATGCTTAGTTAGTTTAGATCTTCTTCTCGTTCTGTCTCTGTACTTACTAATCTTGTTAACCCTTGTGATTTATTTTCTTGCTTAATTATGAGATGAGATTCAAAGTGATGTATCTGTTTGAGTTAATATGTGACGTTGATGTCTTGTCTTGTTCGAGTGAATATGTGAATTTAATACTTCTTAGTTTAAGGTTTTGGTTCTTAGTTCTTAAGACACGAACAAGTAACTAGTTATTAAAATAATCAACATTTTTGAACAATGTTTATTTCTTGATCGGTTTGTTTCTGTTTTTGTCTTGTCTTGTTCTTAAGTTTTTTTTTTTTTAGCGTTATTGTGTCTTATCTCTCTGTAACTGTGTTTGTTTTTCTGGTTATTAGCTTATGTTTCTTAGTTTTTTTTTCTAATTGTCTTCATGTTTCTGTTATTTATCAGTTCGATATTGAGTATTATCTATCTGAATTATTATTTATGCTAACTGATTTTGTTTTATTGTAGATGGATTCTTCATCATTTCCCGATGGTGAAACTCAAGATACAGCAGAAACCTTTACCACACAGTCCACACCTAATCAAGGGAAAAGGAAGGAGACAAATGGAGATACTTCTGGTCAACCCAATGAAAAGAAAACAGCGGGTAAAAGGTCTAAAGTGTGGAAACATTTTGATCCACTTGAGGAGGACAAGGACAAATGCATTTGTCGTCATTGTAAAAGAGTTTACGGTTGTGCATCATCCAAAGGGACTTCTAACTTGGGGAAGCATATGTTAACCTGCAAGAAGTTGTTGGCATTTGAAGCAAGTAAGTCTGCAGATACGAGAGCTGTTACTAAGGATGGACGATTGGTGGAAGCAAAGGTTTCAGAGGATATCTTCAAAGTGGCGACTGATGAGTTGCTAGTGTTAGGAGAATTGCCACTTGCCTTCATTGAAAGCATGGCTTGGAGACACTTCTGTAGTCGAGTTAATCTCTACACACCGCATTCAAGAAGAACTGCTACCAGAAACATTGTGAAGATGTATGAGGAGAGGAGAGCGGGTCTTAAAGTTTGGATTGCAGCTAACAAGCAGCGAGTGTCACTTACTACTGACATATGGGTGGCTCAAGCAACAGGTGCTAGCTATATGGTGATTACAGCACATTTCATTGATGCAAATTGGGAAATGAGGAAGCTAATCATCGGGTTCAAGTACATCACGGATCATAAAGGGACCACTATAACAAGAGTCCTTATGGAGTGTTTGGCTGAATGGGGAATACAGAAGATATTCACCATCACGGTGGACAACGCCACCGCCAATACATCTGCCCTAAAGAGGTTTCAGACCCAATTCAGCTTAGTGAGCGATGAGGCATTGGTTTTAGATGGAGAGTTTATGCATATGAGGTGTTGTGCACATATTATCAACTTAATTGTCAAGGAAGGATTGCTAGAGTTAGTTGATAATGTGTGTGCCATTAGGAATGCCGTGACGTATGTGAGGGCGTCTACTAATAGGATCGACACTTTTGATAGCCGTGCTGATAATGCCAAGGTGACTAGAGGGAGTTTGCCTTTGGATATAAAAACTAGGTGGAACTCAACATACTTGATGCTGCTACAAGCTATTAAGTTCAGGAAGGCATTTGATAAAATGGAAGCTGAAGATCGGCTATACAATGATTACTTTCTCGAACAAGAGAATGGTCAAAAAAGGATTGGTCCGCCTACTGAAGTTGATTGGAATGCAGTGGAGAGGTTAGTAAGGTTTCTGATCATCTTCTACAATTCTACGTTGATCGTCTCAGCGTCTAATTCGGTTAGCTCCTACAAGTGCTATACTGAGATAGTTACTATAGAGAAGAATCTGATGAACTTGAGCAATAGTTTAGACAGAGAGTTGAGTGAAAAGGCTGACGACATGAGAGGAAAGTTTGACAAATATTGGGATGGAGTGAAGAACATCAATAGGCTTCTGATTGTTGCTAGTGTCCTTGATCCGAGCAAGAAAATGCAGTTTGCTAAGATATGCTTTGAAAGACTTTACGGCAAAGATACTGCACAAGCTAAATGGATGTATACTTCAGTCACTGAAGTTATGAAATCTCTGTTTGCTGAGTATAGCACTCGGTCTAAGAAGGAGGCCATTGTCACACCATCACAGACGGATCAAGCATCAACTTCCGGTGGCCATGGTTCATGCTCTGAGAACATGGATTTTGTGAATGATGAACAGGGGTATGAAAGGATGGATCAAGTTTATAAGGATATGATCAGTGGTTTAGGCGTTGAAGATGAACGGTCTGAGTTGGATATTTATCTGAGTGACAAAGTTGAAAATCCTAATACTTTGCTTGGAACAGAGTACGATGTCTTATCTTGGTGGAAGGTAAATGCAGGGAAGTTCCCAATTTTATCAGAAATGGCTCGAGATGTTCTTGCTATGCAAGTGTCCTCTGTTGCATCTGAAAGTGCTTTTAGCACTAGTGGCCGAATCATTGATCCGTATCGAAGTTGTTTAACTCATTACATGGTTGAGGTCTTGATGTGTACTGAGCAGTGGATGAAGGCTGAGATTAAGTTAGGCGAGAAAACATTTGTTTCAAACACGGAGATGCTTGCTGATGTTACATTGCAGGATGAACTCCAGAAAAGTAAGTTCATTTTACGGTTTTCCATTTCATGATTGATGTTTATATCCTAACATTCTGATTTTATATATCTTTTTCAGTGTATCCTAGACCCAACTAGAACTAGAAGTGGATATGGTCCTCAAAGTTCAAAGGTAACATGATTAATAACAACTTAAGTTATTGGGTTTCTATATTGTGCCGTGTTTTTGACTTGATTTGTTTCTGTTGTAACAGGCAATCAAAGATGTCAATGAGACATGGACACGGAGAAACAACGCGTTTTGGACTTTGAGACTCACCACTCTTCTTTCTTTTCATTTGATTGCTTTGAATTTCTTTCTTTATTTTCATTTGGTTGTGTTATGGAATGATATCACTTTGGTAATGACTTTTGTGTTGCTGGTTTTTAGTGTTTGGACGAGAATGATTTGTATTTTGTTCTTAGGTTGAATCAAGTTGAATGGTTGTTTTTTTATTTGTTCGGATTTCATTTGAAGTAACAGGTTATCAGGTCAATTTTTGTTTAAAACAAAGGAACTTACTCCAAACCGAAAGTATTTTTAGATCCGAAAAGTATATCCGGTAATACCCGAATCCGAAGAGAACCGAACCGAACCCGACCCGAATTTTATAATTATCCGAACGGATCCTTTTCTCTTAGGACCGAAATACCCGAAACCCGAAATACCCGATCCGAACCCGACCCGATAATCCGAATGCCCACCCCTATCGTCTACTTTGTTTATGCAAATTGTCTGTCAATAGATTGTTCGTTAAAAGTGTCCGTCAAAATAATCTCAGCCTTGTACTAAACTAGTTCGTCTTGGACTTTTCCAGATTTTAATAGAATAAATAACTGAATTTTAAGAGAGAAAACTTACAAGTTGGTAAGAGATATATGCTTGATTCGGAAAAGAAATAGTTCCCTCTCTCTTTTTCTGAAAAAAGTATAAAAGAAATAGTCATCTTACATTACTATTATTATATTCATTTTAAGGATCATATATCTTATATGATAAACATAGGGTAAAAACCATCATTTATCTCATTTTAAGTTATTTGGAATAAACTCGTGTGGGTAGTGGGTACGATTATTGTGTTACATAGTATGTATATTTTAAGCGATAGAACTGGTATCTTTCAGGTTATACAGATAATTGAGCAAATGTAGCATACCTGAGAAGAGTGAGAAAATGTGGTTTTGACTTTTAAGTAAGCATTATGGTTTGTGTAAGATGAGTGGCCAAATGTACGTAGCTTATGAGGTGATCATATGAATATGCAGATGATGTGTTCCTGTGATTTTAATATCACGATCAGCTATATATGGATAATTAGTTTGTTATATTATATGGTGGCAATAGTTGATGACATATATTAACAAGGGAATATATGTGGATCATATTTTGCTGGCACATGTGTATTTTGGTTCATTGGTTGCTCATATTGATTGTTTTCTCACATACTATAAGTTTTTAATCGTGGAAGTTATTATAATTTTTTTTTTGAAACTATGAGCTTATATTATTATTGGCATTTGGGCAAAGATTTATCAATTTCATATCGTGTTAATTACATAATGAAATATGTATATCCCTATTCTATCGACCATAAATGATATTTTTGTTTTTTAGTTTTAATGTTAAGAATAAATGAGAAATGTTTTTTTCCCATATATATTGATTTGATGCAAAAAATTAATAATGTTTTAGAATATGTAGCTGTCATGTAAGAATATATTAATGTTTTACCAATAGTAGTGACTGTGTATTGTTTTATGCATACAAATAATATTATTTAGTTAATGCATTACAATGGTTTAAATTGAGAAGGTATAATATTTCAGGACAACTAATATATATATGTAAAAAATCGATATAATAAGAAATATAGATCATCTACTAAAAATGTTATCAGTTTACAACTGCTATAAATACAAGAAATATTGTCACATAAGTAATCACAAGACAAAATACTAATTGTATAAACGTGAAACAATGAGTGCAAACAAGACAAGAGTGTGTATCCATCTTAGTAGTGATCCTAATGGTGCTATTAACTTCTCAAAATACGAAAGGTAATAGTGATTTTGCGTTTGCTCCAGTGTCGGAGAAAGGAATATTCCCAAATCCAATGTCCTGTGTGGCAGATGCAAGAAAAGTTCCAGATTGTGTAGATGCATTGAAGCAGTTCCAACTCAAAACTATAAAAAAAAAGAATGTTGCATCGTTCTAATGGGTCTACCAGAAGATTGTTTTGGGTTTTTATTTCCAATGCGTTTTACTTACCGCATAATGCTTAAAATGACATGCAAATTATTAGATTTAAGCAGTTAATCATTTTTTATTTTTAAAATTTGTTATTCCTTTTGTGTAATAATTATAATTCATATTTTAAATATTTATAATAAAAACCTATGATTCACATGCCATTATCTAGATTATTATGTTTTAACCATGTAGTATTATTTGAATATTGTTTTGATATTTTCATCTACGTATTACGTATGATATACATACGGTCCATTATGATTACAATCATTTGTCAGAAATTATGTTTTGCAAAAGGGGATTCGGTTAAAACAAATTCTAGATTAAAGAACACACAAAGATTAGTATTTCTTGAGAATATATATGTTCCATGTACATAAGACAATAATTTGTATTAATTTCTCTAATTTGTGACTCTTTTATTCTCTTCCTAACACAATGCTTGTATATATATACACACCCTGACACACACATTTACACATGTATCTATACAATTTCCTTTTGTTATTTTTCTATATTTATCCGAAATAACCACTTCTTTTTGCATAAAGCTGTTGATAAAGAGAACATGATACTTTTTTGTTTCTCTTCAGTCTCTTTCAAATGTTTCATCTTAATTTTTAGAATTTAATCTCTCTCATTTTAAATAAAATCCCACCTTAAGTGACCTAACTGCTCACATCATATAATTCTGCGCTTCTGGTATGTAGTTATTTACATGTTAATCAACCATCCGACTAACATTCTCTACATTGAAATACACATTGAGCCGGAATGACTATTAATTTTTCATATAATACGTAGCCACTTTGAATAGTTAGCTTTCCCTAATCAAAACATTGTAATTGATTAGCTTTCCCTAATCAAAACTTTGAGTAGTTAGCTTTCCACTATTTTATATCCATTGTTTAGTTAATATTCTTCCGAATCCCACTGTTTTAACTATGAAATGCCAACTAACGATTACTTCTGTGTTTCCGTTTGCTTACAAACTTTTCTATATGCAAATGCTAAAATACTAAACAACCTAAATAACCTCCATCAGTTTAGTTAAGAACTACCATAGACTTCACAATGGGCAGAAAAATGTAGGTGTAGACCGTCTCCAACTTTTTAGCTTAGATCACTGCCAGGAAAAACAACGTGACTTTCCGAATGATATTAATTTGGAGCCTGTACCTATAGCACGATAGAATCTTCTATTAGATTAAAGACATCTTTTGTAACAAATTGTAGTTTTTTAAAATGTACACTAGTAGTCAGTCTAGGACTAATAACGATAAGTGTTACCAGGTCAAATAGAGTGGTTTAAAATGGGTCTTGAAAATTAATGTCACATTTAAAGTGTCGTCAGTATTCGCTATAAACTTTTGACAATTTCGGGCTTCAAATTTAATGTCACATTTAAAGCATAATGTCACTGTTCGGTAGAAGCTTTTGACAAATTCTTGGCTGCTACAATGATTGCAATATATAACTATATATATCCCCCATCACAACACATCACTCTCCACAAATATAAGAGATGACCGGAAACGGAGAAACCAACCAGTACTCCACGGAGGTTGGTGCCGTTCGATCTCTCCAAGAGACTCCCACTTGGGCTCTGGCCACCGTTTGTTTCTTCTTCATCGCCGTTTCCATTTGCATAGAGCGTCTCATCAATCTTCTCTCCAATGTAAGTACATCAATTCGTTGTGAAAAAAAGTGTTTTACTTATTTTCATAATATGTTAAGTTTATATGAGTAAATTATGCGTGAACTTTAGAAAAGAGTAAATTCTAACTAACACGAGTTCAAATTATTTGTCTTCTTGTCCTTGTTGTTTACAGAGACTTAAGAAAAATAGAAATACATCACTACTCGAAGCTGTGGAGAAATTTAAATCTGGTAAGACTCTGTCCCCTTCGCAGCAAACTCATTTGGTGATCAAGTTTTTCGTTAATTATTTAAAAAAAAAACAAGCTTTCGGGATTTGACACTCAATTGAATAAATAAAATTCAACATTTATCCGTCCATAGAGAAAAGTTGAAATATTTGGTGTTATGTACTGCGCAGTTCTAATGGTGTTTGGATTCATGTCACTTATGCTAAATGTGATTGAAAGAGAAGTTTCAAAGATATGCATTCCAACAAAGTACGCGAATCGAATGTTGCCTTGCGGTGGAACAAAAGCATTACTTGGTGATGAAGATGATGATGATCATGACAACATATTATCTCATCATTGCTCCAAGGTTCTTCTTAATTGATCCTTAATAACCATCATTTTCCAATTTTAGTTTCAAATGTTTTTAGTAATAATGATAATTAGTAGATTTTTTTTTTTTTTAAACAGCTATATGAGATATCATCTACTCTATATTAATGGATATGTTGTCTGATCCGTAGTAGATTTGTTGTTTTTATATATGGGAGAATTTGTATTTCTTACTAGGTTTTTCTAATGTAATACAATTAATTTGATCGGGAAAAAAATGGTGGACCATAAAAACTGTACGGTCTTTTTTTGTGCGTGTAAGAAATTGTACGTTAAACTGTAAAATGAGTTTGATGTTGTCGTTAACCACTGAGGTCAACGACTCAACGTGACTAAGTCAACATGAGTCAAATTATAGTAAACTTTTATCACTTTCAAGATCAGATTACAAATTTACAATATTGACTGATTCACGTGACGAAACTAGTCTCGCCATTGACAGTTTCATGTTACTTAATATATTTAACAAAATTACAGGGGAAGACGCCACTAATATCGCCAGAGGGGTTGACTCAGTTGAGTTTCTTCTTCTTTGTGTTGGCATGTATGCATATTTTTTACAATCTTGCCACTCTTCTTCTTGGAATGGCCAAGGTACATTTTTATATACTGATCATTATATTATATATTTATATTAAACTTGTATTTGCAAATAGAGTTCTGTAAATTTTTTGGAATGTTTTAATAACTTATAGATGAGAAGATGGGAATCGTGGGAGAAGGAGACCCAAACGGTGGACTATTTAACAGCAAACGGTAATTTTTTTGTATTTGCTATAACTAAATGACAAGTGATCCATGCAACATCAATAATATATGGATGAAAATTTGATTGGTATTTATGTAAATTACAGATCCTAATAGGTTTAGAATCACACGAGAAACCACATTTGCTCGACGACACCTAAGTTCTTGGACTGAAACATCGATTCAACTTTGGACTGTAAGTTCGTATGCATATTCTCTGTCGTTTAATAATTAATTTAATAATTAATATATTATGTCAAACTATATACAAAGAAAGATTAAGTTTTGTTTTTTCTTAGAAATGTTTCTTCAGGCAGTTTTTCAAATCGGTTGCGAAAGTCGACTACCTCACACTCCGTCATGGATTTATCTTTGTTAGTATCTCAATTTTTTTTCTCAATCGATAATTAAGATTCTCCAAATAAATAAAATTTGAAATTTTTTATGCTCTTCTGAATATTAATGTAGGCTCATTTATCGTCCAATAATTCTTTCAACTTTCAAAAGTATATACAAAGATCTTTACATGAAGATTTCAAAACTGTAGTTGATATCAGGTATACGAATTATTATACTGTATGTTTAGATTCCATTTGAATGACATTTAATTGGCTATTAATATTATCTTCTAAAACATATAATTGAAACTTTGTTTTAATTTTATTACAGTCCTCTAATGTGGCTAATCGTGGTCATCTTTATGCTCCTCGACGTCCAGAGTAACTTAATTTTACATATTTATAGCCTTGATTTCATTAGACACTGCTGCTGATTCACACTATTGACCTCGTCTTTTTCTTCTCCTCTTAATTATCAGGTTGGAGAGTATATTTTTGGATGTCATTTGTGCCACTAATTGTAGGAGCTAAAGATTCTATAAATTTAGTACTAATCAACAATATGTGTAACTCAAGTAATTGATAAATTAAAGTGTGATGTAGATGGTTCTAGTGTTAGGGACAAAACTAGAAGTGATAGTGGCGAAATTGGCAGTGGCAATAATGGATAATAACAGTGTGATTAGAGGAACCCCTCTCGTTGAGCCAAACGACGAGCATTTTTGGTTTTCCCATCCTCGTTTCCTCTTAACCATTCTACACTACACGCTGTTTATGGTAATCGACACGTCGTTTTTATTTAATGATTCTTCAAAATTCCATCATTTTTTTAATATGAAAAGAATATGACAAAAATGGATTTGTTGGTGTGACATTGATACAGAACACCTTCGAGATGGCAAATTTTGTTTGGATCACTGTAAGTTAATTCTGTAGTTTCCTTTGCATCTTTTTTATATTTTTCTTATACGGATATATAACAGAAAGAGAAAAAGAAAAAAAGAAAATTGAGATATCTTAACTTATTATGAAAAAAATAGTGGAAATTTGGGATTAACTCTTGTTACAATGAACACCGAGAGCTCGTCCTCACACGACTCGTAATAGCGTAAGCACGACTCTCTCTTATTTTCTCAAATTTCTTCTTTTATTCCACAATATTGTTTTTCATTTTTTTCTTTGAATTTATGTTTCTGTATAGTGAATTATCTCACTGATAAATATATCATTTGTATAGATCAACAGTCCAAGTGTTGAGCAGCTACATTACATTGCCTCTTTATGCACTTGTAACTCAGGTAAGTACATGTTATTTACAAAACATATGCTCACACCGTTTTTGTTGAACAAATATTTTTGCATTAACTTGCAATAGTTATTGTTAATGTAACCTAGTGATCTAGAATTTTATATGGATTTTTGTATATATATGCGTGTAGATGGGGTCAAGCTACAAGAGAGCAATCTTCGAAGAACATATAGCAAATGTGTTAAGGCAATGGCATCGTAAGGTTAAAGACAAGAGGAAGATAAATCAAAAACCAGAAACCGCCAACAACAGTAACAATAATACCGGCGTTGTCGACTCTGGCGAGAGCCCGAATCAGTCAGAAGTTGTTTCCGGTAGACAACCACCAATATTACAAGAGATATTGATACAAAGCAAACAGCAAAATGATAGTATTGATGGAAAATGAGGAAGAGTCGAAGAGTAATGTGAAATGAATATAGAGTTTACTTAGAAGTTTTTAGAGCTTGTTTAATAGATAGTACTAGTTAGGGAGTGCAAGTGATAAGTGTATCTCTGATATTTTTTTTTTGGTTAAAAGGGTCCAAGTGTATCTCTGATATGGTTTCAAAGTTCTGAAACATAACATATAAGAAATGTTAGAAACCATGTTTTCTTATTATGAGGTTATTCAGGACATTGTAAAATTATATATACTTGTACAAAATGAAAATGTCACATTGTGTTATCATCTTTTGCAGTGCAGAAAAAAAGAGACTTGCTACTTATCTCTATGGTTCTTTGAAAAGCTCGCGACCGATGACAATCCTTCTAATCTCGCTTGTCCCTGCACCGATCTCATATAGCTTTGCATCTCTCAGAAAGCGTCCTGTTGCATATTCGTTTATGTATCCATTTCCTCCTAGACATTGTATTGCCTGCAACATCAAACCAAATCTCTTAAGTACTACAGGAAAGATAAACCAGATACTCAATCTGTGTTGTAGTCCTCTGCTCTTCCGAGGTTTATGTTGCTGGTACAAGAAAGCAGGAGGGTAAGGGTAATTGACCTGTAAAGCAACCTGTGTTGCTCTTTCGGCTGCACAGAGAATAGTTCCCGCGCAATCCTATAAGAAATATTAAACAACAAGGCTATTATTAAGTTTCAGTGACGGAGCAGATCAAAGATTGAGGATTCTTCTCATCATAGAAAATGAGAAGAGAGTAATCTGTTCATTATCAAATCACCTTTGGGTCAACTTTCCCATTGTCACACTCCCTAGCAACAGAGTAGACGTATGACCTGAGATGATGCCAAAGAACCATTTCATTGAGCTAAAGTTGTTTTTTCCTGTATGAACAGAATGAAGTCAAGAGTATTGAGAGAAGTTTGCTACCTTGAAGACTGTAATGCAGTGTACATGTCAGCAACCTTACCCTGAAATTATCCAAACCGACTATTTTTTAAGAATCTTACCGTTTAGAGTTGAGATATTTTGGGAACATTCATGTGAAGGATGATCAAAATCATCAACCTGTATAAACTGGAATTCCCCTAAAGGACGACCAAACTGTTCTCTCTGGCGAATATACGGAAGTACAGTGTCGAGGCATGCCTGCATGATCCCTAATGGCCCAGCTGCTAAAACAAGCCTCTCCAAATCAAGACCCGACATCAGAACATACACTCCTGCACGTACAAAACCTTATCTACATAAGAGAGAGAACTGAACATAGTATATGTCGGTTTAAGTATCAGCAATAAGAAAACCTTTTCCTTCTTGGCCAAGAACGTTTTCTTCTGGCACAAAGCAATTCTCGAAAACAAGCTCACACCTGTTCAGAAGAGACATTTATCAGAGAACAAAGAACAAAGAAGTTGACATAAACAGAGTAAATGAGGGGTTACGTGTCGCTTCCCCGCATTCCCAGTTTATCCAGTTTCTGAGCAGTACTGAATCTGCAAAGCCACCAACAATCAGAAACGGTTTAGTCTTAACTAGTTTCATATTTTGTCAAACAAGATTGAAAATTCACATACCCGGCCATTCCCTTCTCTATAACGAAAGCGGTGATTCCTTTAGAACCTGCTTTTGTATCAGTTTTCGCGTAAACAATCTGATCCAACAAAAAAACCAGAGAAAAATGTTAAAAAAACTAGATAAACAATGTATCAACCAACACACAATCAATTTCAGAAGTTAACATATTATTATGTACCAGTGTTTCAGCAGAAGGACCATTAGTGCACCACATCTTGTTGCCATTCAGTACATAACCACCATCTACTTTTTCAGCCTTGCATTTCATGCTGACAACATCTGAACCGGCTGTAACCAATTTTAAAAACTCAAAAATCAGAATAAACCGTTCACTATAAGTATGTAAATGGATGTGTTGTCACACTCTCTGTCTTACCATTAGGTTCACTCATTGCAAGAGCACCAATATGCTCTCCACTGATTAGCTTCACAACAGCAAATCATTAGTTAGCTAAACTCTGATAAACCATTAGCATCAGCAGGTACAGAAGCTCAGATGAAACCGTTACCTTTGGCAAATACTTTTGCTTTTGGGCTGTATTTCCATTCCTCACCTGTAAAGTTAGTAACAAATCTTTCTCTGTTGGCTTATAAAAAAAAAACTTGAGATATTGCAACGTAGCTTGTGGAGTCTGATATTTTACCAATTGATTGATGCAAAGATTGGAATGAGCACCGTAAGAGAGAGCAACTGACCCCGAGGCACGACTGATTTCTTCCATTGCTATACAATGGTACAAGTAACCAAGACCTAGACCTCCATATTCCTCTGCGGATAAACCAGAGCATGATTGAGCTAATAGAAGAAGCATATGATATGTGCTAGGACAGAGATGAGATCTACACCTGGAGCAGTGATGCCATGGAGATTGAAGTCGCCCATTAGCTTCCATAAGTTTACATCCTAGTTCAAAAAAGTATGAAAGATTAGCTTTGGGGAGCAATAAAAGCCATAAGAGGATGGGATTAAGAGACTGGAAGTCAGAGAGACCTTTGGGAATGCATTAGTTCGATCGATTCTTTCTGCATGAGGAGCTATAATATCTTGCGCAAACTTTGATACACTTTCTTTAAACTGCAGTTGCAAATGAAGCCACAGAGAAACTGGTCAATGAAAGAACAATAATGATACAGGCCCACACAATGGTGAAATGAAAAATCAATATCAAACTCCATTTTTTACCACAGCACACCATCAAAATCTCTAAGATCATTTCAATTTCAATGTAGCAACTAAAAACCCCCCAAAGAGCCATGAGTGGAAGTCGAAAGCTACCACTATAAATCACAAATTTTAAGCATCTTGGGCAACTCTTGGCTCCTCCAAGGCCAGAATGACAATGACAAAGATCTTCCGGAGTTTAGACTAACAAAGTAGTTCACATAACAAGAGCACAATCACACTACACAACAGATTCAGCTGCCAAGTTCTGATTCAGAAGAAACATCATTTTATCGAATGCAATCGCATGGAATCCAGATCATATCGAACGAGAAAGAAGATGGCATGTTAGCAAAAACAAGAAGCAAGAATTATAGAAAGAGAGAACCTGTAACTGAGTGTCGTCGAAGAGGAGGGAAGAAGAGAGCGAAGAGAAGTGCCTCCTCCGCGTCTTGACGGCGTTACCGAGAACCGATCTCGCGGCAAAGAACCTCTGCATCTTTCGATATTTCCGACAGTGAGAAGAAAGATTCGAGAAATTGCTTTAACCAAACGGCTTTTTTTTTATTATTACAGAACCCAAATACGCTTCAGAGTGAAACTAAACAATTTAAATAGAAAACGAACAAGACGAAGAAGAAGAAAGAAGCTGATAAGGATGGAACATATAGATATGAGCAATGAGTCATAGTCTAATGTAGTTCCGTAAACCACTTTGATTTTTTATATTTGTTACTCTCATATACCAATCTTTCTCGTCCCCATTATAACATTCAGAGATTAATCAAATTTTGTTGGTTGTGTTAAATAAAGAAAGTTGTTGAAGTTGGAACATTGTGTTAACTACAACGACATTACAAGATACAAGCCACATGAAAATGTAATCTTGCCGTCTCCAAAATGGGAGTTTTTATATAAGAGTTCAAAGAGGAAAAAAAGAGCTGATTTTCATTTTTTTTTTCTTTCTATTAAACAAACAAAATAGAAACTGGAGCACCACATTTACATATGCTGTTTCTCGTATTGGTTTATATCTCACCTTAGAACAGCTTTTGAAGTAAGTAACTATCGACGTTTCCAAGAAACAGAAGAGAACCCTATAGAACATACATTTACCCATCATAAGCCTCCTTTAGTTTTTCATTAACTTATACAGTAAACCTGTCTGCTCCTTTGTAAATAACAACCTGCAACGAGAGAGAAACTTTCAGATTCAGAGAATCGATGGCATTAGAGTAAAGAAGATGGTTTATAGATTTCAACAACTCATATTGGCTTTTTACCTTGCATGAGAGCTTGAAGGTGCCAAAACACAGAGGAGAATCAAACGGATCTTTCCAAACTCTAGCTCTGATGATCCGTTTGATTGTTCTGTGCGTATGCATTCGTCAAAGAACCAAAAGGAACACTGAGTCATCCCAACAAACACACACAAGCAAGTCGAGCAGGAAGCTATACATACGGTGCTTTCATCCAAACAAAAAAAATTCTTATCATTCTGAGTCTGAATCAATCGAGAGATACAGCCGAGGTCTCACTGAACGCTTCTGGCGAGGAAATGAAAATGGACTATCTGATCTTTGTCGACTTGCCTTCTCTTGTCTACTGTCATTCATCCCCAGAAGCAACGATGCTGCAAGTAAGCAGTTAATACAGTCATTAACAAATAGTCGTTAAAAATATCTTTCCTGCTAATGCAAATTAGTCATAAGCACAAGAATCAGCATTAAAGATTAGGAGAACAAACCAGTCTCTGACAGAGTATCCAGGGCACTGTCCCTTGTCGATACTGTGTTGTTTTCGTTAAGTCCGTTTGCACCTAACCTCTCACCGTGATCACCGAGCCTGAGAGAGATCCAATCATCACTGTGGATTCCGTTTGACATCTCACCCTGATTTCTGAAATCAGGCTGAGCTGAGGTCTCTGGTTTTGTTGGCAGAAATATTTGAAGTGAAGGGTCGTCTCTACTAAACGCCAGAGGATTGTCAACTAATCCATCGTTCGCATCTGCTTCGGATCGTCCAACTGACCCTGGAACCATAGGAATGGATGGCATTGATGCATCTGGAGCCGTGGAGTAGCCACTGTTTATTGCCGGGTCACAGTTCAGTGGACCGGGCTGCAAACCAACTAAACCTTGGGATACATCAGCATCAGATGCAAATAGTTGGAACCCCGGACCTCCTTGTGTTTCCGAAGACAACTGCCAGAGGCGCATATCATAATCATCGTTGGTGAAAAGATCCAAGCCTGGATTTCCACCAGCCACAGCGTGAGGGTCTTCATTATATGAGTTCATGATACCAGGTGCGTGCAATGAGAAATTAACCCCACCTTCAGCTTGATTCTCATTGTAGTCAGCTCCTGCAGTTATTAAAACATCATTCTCTTCGTCAGAGTCACTTAGAACGATGACATCATTATTACTAGCTGCTGCTGGTTGATGACTCCTATCAGGAACGTTATAGCCTGAATCTACATTCATGGATAGAGAATCAAGTTCCATGCCGTTGTTTCCAAAATCAAAGGTTCCAATAGCATCCTGGTTTACGCTAGGGTCATCACCATCCCTACCACTTCCAGTGGCACTACTGCTCATTGGTATAATATTTTGCTCCTGATGTCTGAGCATCTCTTGCCTATTACTGGAAGATAAACCATTATTATTAGCTTTGCTAACTTCCCAATTGCCATTACGATTCTTCCTTATTCCAAGTTTCAGAGGGGTTGGGCCATCTGAGCAACCTTCTTGTTTGATCGGTGTTAGCATTTCCATCTTGGGTCTGATTTCATCAACCGTGGGGGAGAGACTACCATCAGGGTCGTGCCATCGTGAGAGTTCCCCTAATTCCCTACGCTCGCTCTCATTTTTGAACTTCCCACGCCAAGAACCATCAGGTTTTATTTCGATCTCAGTTAACTCTTCATCACAACGTCTCATCTGCCATGTAGTAAGACGAATTTTAGAAATGGAAATCACAGAAAATAAAGAAATCTATTGATCAAATCTCTTCAAAAATGTACCTTTGATGTGATACGGTTAAAATAAGGATCCACGATCATATGCTCAAGAGAGTAGTTCTTCAGACAAATAGGACATTGCCACTGTAAAACAAACAACATAACAAATAAACTCAGTAAACAATAAGAGCAGCCCAGTTATCTAGACCATAACAGAATACCTGCCTTTCTGGAACGTTGATTCAGCTCCACAAACACCTCAAGGTCGAAACATCCCATGTGAACACATGGTTTAAATCTCCCAGCAACTTTCATCCTAGAGCCGCTCATCTAATGACACAACAGTATACATACATACCATCAAATAGTCAATAAGAGAAACAACAACTACGTGATTGCAACAAACTATTGAAAATGAGCTACAATCTACTTACAGGACAACGGAGATTAACACCAAAGAAATCAGCTACGACCTCAATGTCACTGTCACTGTCAGCATTATCATTTCCAGCTGGACCTCCAATGCATCGACGTACACGCGCAAGAGCATCTTCAAAAGGCTCGCCTCTAGCCTCCTCTGGAATCATATTTAGGACCTAGATGAAAAAGAAGAGTGAATTTAAAGGAAAAGCACAAATAGCTAATGTTCTGAGCATTGATGAACACTATAAATAGTGATGATGACTACAGAACTGTCACAATAATTCCTTTGGACGCCAGTTCTCTGTATTCTACTCACATAGTACCAATTTTAAATTAAATTCATGTCCTTATTTTCCCTATGATTGAATTAAGTTTTTTAATGTTTCTCATGCAGTAAACATAAGTACCTGTTGCAGTGTCCTTCGTTTCACAAGTCTTACACCCAAACAAAAACTGCGCGAGTCACATCCACTCAAGGATATCTTGTTAATTCCATCTCTAATACAAGGTGTAATCTGCCAAAAGGGAGCATACTAGATTACGAACAGCAAAATTTAAATTTTTGAGACAACATAGTGTTATACATAAACAAAGAAATGTTGCTGACAGGGATGAAAAACATACAATAGGTCCATCATCGCGGCCATTGGCCCCAAGAAGCTGTGACCCAGGTCGGTTAATAGCACGAACAGGTACACCTATGAGATGATAACGATTAAACAGTGAGCCCATATCAGCTAGAACATGACAAATCAACTGAGTTTTACAACACCAAGAAAGTTAGATGGATTTTGAAAGCAAATTTCTTCCAAGAACTAAATGTCTAACCATACACGTATGATCATGTATTTAAACCCGTGTTAACTCATTTACTAAGGAGATGCTAATAAGACGCAATTTGTTTATCTATAAAGCTAAAGCTGTGAATTTCACTTGCATACCATTGACCTGTAGATCAGCATATTGAGGCCACTGCATCCTAAACAGAACCTTGTCATTCAAGAGCATACACCAAGCCTAAGAACAGAGCAGATTGCACTACCAATTAAAAAATGCATACGCATATATAATGTTACATATCTAACTTATTTGTCAAATCAACAACCTGAACATCGTACTCCTGTTTCACCAATAAGTCTTTGTCCGTCCTTGTTATTTGAAATGTTCTGTCCACAGTCTGCATTGGGTTTGTACTGAAAGTTTTGCAGAGTATATGATAAACAACAAACGTCAATTACAAAGTTTAAGCAAGTTGGCTAGGAAACAGTCATGATTCATGTTCTCTAGGGTTCACCTCATGCCTTAACTGAAATCTACCCCACATTCAGAAACAGTATGCAGTGCGTAAGACTTACATCTAACACTTCATCTAGGCAGAATTAAATAATATATATGACAGAGAGCATATGTCCTTCAGCTTTCGAAGCTAAAAAGCGCTAATAAATTAATAATTGTACTTATAAGACTGGGACTAAAGTACATATATCTAAACTCGATTCCTACGAGAAAAAAACTTGGTATACTTACCCATCAGTTGGGATGTTCGACGCAGTCAACCTCACCGGAAACAATGGATGTGCCACCGTTAGCCAAAATCTGCACATTAAAGACCATGTACGACAGCCAAATAGAAAAATTAGTAAGTTATAACATGGTTAATTGAAAGATAACATTCAAATTTATTGAAACAGAATTAGCATTGACGACAATGCTGGACATATATGAACAAAGACACGAGTAAAAGATGTAGAAACTGGTCAGAATTGTCTGTATCATGCAGAAATAGAAATAATATTTTGATCATTAATCTCACAGTCAGGAGAAAAGAGAAAGTTCATGAGAATCTTACGGGTCAGCTCGAGTAAGTCGGCATATTTCACAGTAAAATGAATCAGGAAGCGGTGGACTTCCTTCCATAGGCTTCTCCGGAATAATAACACAGCCAACATGCTCCCAGACATGGCATCTCGGATCCTCGCACTGAAAATCACAAATCATAATTGAAACCAGAAGGTGTCACCAAAAGTTTTACTGAGCCATAAAACACCAAGAGCCACTACTAACTCAACCAGGAGTTGAGAAAATATTGTGTCAAGGACTTACCTTTATCATTGACTCTGTCTCCAGTGAGCTTCCACAGATACACCGAACTTTGATATCTTGTTGAAAGGAATCTTCGAGCTCTCCCTTAACTTTCACATTACTGATATCTGAACTTACTTGTCCTTTCGATGCCAAGTCACTTGCCCCCGATGCTTGCATTCTCCTGTGGAGAACACAAATTATTGCAGTGGAAAGAAAAGTTTATCACTGTGCACAAGGAGAAGACGTGGCATGCCATCAGAAAACCATGGCTCGAGCAAGGACTCACTTATATGTATCGTTCACTAGTTTTGCAACTTTTTCCCTCGCCACGGCATCCTTTTTAGACCACAACCTGCCCACTGTCACTAAACAGTAAGTAATGGAGAGAAATGCTTATCAAAACATGGTGCTTCTTTGATCAAATAAACATGATTGCTCAATATACCTTGCTCATCGGAAAGAATGGCCAAGATCCGCTCGACAAGGTCCTGCAGAAGGCAATTGCCAAACAAAGAAAACATGGTTCACAACAACAATAATCCAAATTGGAATGCCAATTATGCCTATGAGCTCCATGAACATTATAATCCTATTTTACAGGTAGATAGATATGCCATAAATTCACTATTAGCAACTCCGTTCCAATTTATGTCAAACTTATCTCCCAAAAAATGAGAAAAGTACAATCATTACCACCCTAACGTCATCTTCTATAAGATGATAATTTACAGCGTTCAAACCATAACTGTAGTACAAGATTAGCAGAATAGTTCTTACCTGCTTCTTTCCCTGTTTGGAAAGTCCCAGTCTAGTAAGCACATCCTTGAGCTCTTTTATCCGGAAATATGCAAGTTTCTCCTGAAAATATATCAGACAAAAGCCATGAACCATGTTTTCCCTGGAAAAGAAATCAAACTCATACTCTGAGAATGACTAAACCAAGATAAAATACACAGACAACAGCCAAAAACCAAAACTCAACCGTAGAAACTAGATTTGCGCATGTCATGTGAACGAGACTAAGCCGATACTATAACCATTAGGAATCAACAATGTCATTATTTTCTCAATAAACCACTAATCCGTCCAAGCCTTCTCATGACTTTCATAGGCTCATACCCTTCAAACTTAAAGGCTTAATAAATTCCAGAAACTGAGAGATAGAGAGTCATCTTCTACTCAGTAGTATACCAAATCGATCTTGAGCCCGATCATGAGCAAATTACTAAAAACCAAGCTCTTCGAAACCTCTACACATTCTATTTTCAAAACATAAGCATTCGAATTGTTTCCATAAACACAAAATATCCAGCCAATACCTTGCAACTAGCGACCAAATCCATCTCTTAAACCCCAACACAACGACGAGAATCAGCAGCAGCTCAGTTCAAATCACACAGCCCAAAATTCACTAACAAAGCCGGAAATTTTTTCACAGCATACAGTCTCCATACAGCAGCCGATCTAAACAACATGAAAATCAAACAACAAAATGATCATTCAAATAATCGTAAATTCCCCTGAAGAAATCCCAACAACAACAAAATTCGAAACAAATACCCAGGGATCGGATACTGCATATCAATTCATCCGCAAATTGATAATCAATTTGGGAAAATCAGAGCTCCACAGCTTCGATTTCGAACAACGCCGACAATGTTTTCTGTTTTTGGCCTTCTCTTTTCTTTGAACATCAAAAACCAGACGGACGAAATCGATTTTTCTGAGACGAAAGAGAAGAAAATGGTAACCGGACCAAATGCGCGATTATCAAATCCGGTTTAGTTTACTGCAATACGTCCGGGTTTAGTTCCAGTGTGCCACCACGTACAGGAAAGCGCAAAAGACCACAAACTCACCTAACTTCCGTCTTTTGTCTTCTTTCTCTCGCAGAATCGTATTCGTATCTTCTTCTATATATGTTTACTTTCTAACTTTCTAGTATCATCTGGTGTATTCAGATCTCGCCACGTCAATAGATTATAAACCGTTGGATCAGCCGTTCGGTTTATAATATTTTCCAAATATCGTTTCTCGCAACCACGAAATTTTTGCATTCTCAGTTACCAACCACTCGCCTTCGCCGATATCAATTTTGCATCATTGTTGTGCAAGTAAGTAATCAAAGTATCAAACTCAATTTTGTTCCATCCAAATCTTCCTTTGATGTTTGAATGATTGGACGAAAGAGTTTAGATGGGTTCGGTATTTGAAAGAACATGAGTATTCTCGATAGTAGTAGAGTTTAGATACAGTTCAGACTAGTCAAACATATTTATAGTTTTATCAAATTTATAAAAGTGTGTTGTGTATATTTTCATACATATATATCAATAGTTCAATATAATGATGAAGTTTAAGATAAATGAGATTTAACGGAACAGACATTATTGGCATAATGACATTATTGGCAATTTGGCATAATGACATTATTGTGGGACCCCATTATTTGTTTATCTTTTTGTTTGGGTCGACGACACTTGTATATAAAAATTCACTCCCAAGTAATGTACTTTTAGTCTTTACAACAGTTTCGTATTCGATTATCACTGTGAGACAGTGGGTGAGGAAGAGCCCAAGCCAAATGTCTACCACGCAGAACCACAACATAACAGAGCACGCTGCAGAGATTAGATAGATAACCTTGGTATTCCAAACAGAAGATTACTTTTTTTACTCAAACTCAAAACAAAACATGAAAAGCATATATTTGATAGTTGCATTGTGGTCTAGTTTTAGCGTAAAAATAATTAAGTTCGTTTGAAGCCCAAAAGCCCATAGAAACGCAAAGCCCATCCAATTAATACAGAGGGGTTTAGGAAAAACGATCAGACTTTCTGGGGTTTCTGGGTTTTCGTCTCCGATCTGAACTTTCTCCTCCAATGGAGGACGACGACGAGACGGGAAAGGGAAAGAGACATGGGAAAGGAATCCCGGCGCACGAGAACCGGAGGAAGAAGCCTAAGGTTAAATCTCTAATCTTTCTCTAACAATTAGTTGTTATAGCTGGTCCGTGATAAAAAATTGTTATCGCTAAAAAATCATGTTCCTTCTCCTTGTAGGTTGATCCAACCGAGTCTTCTCGGGCAGATGATACTGATGCCTCAGATCGTAAGGGCAAGAAGCATAGCAAGAAGCAGAGCAAAAAGCAGAAGAAGGTTGGCATTTTCTTAATTTTTTTTTTCCTCAGGATATTAGATTGCGTTAGCTAAGATTCGTTTACCATTCTCTCAAGGAATCATTTCAATTGGTATTGCGTCTTGAAATAAGTACAATATTCAACTTCAAGATGGCCTTCAACTAGCCCAGAATCCGAAATCGACCAACTCTATGTGCCAAAATGTCTTGCTGCTGGAAACTTTCCTTTAAACGTCAAGGAACACGAAGTGTAAGACGTGAATATATTTGTTTAAATTCCCATCTATCTTATCACACTTTGTTTTTTAACACTTGTCTTATGATTACAGGATGAAATTTTTTGAAGGCAAAGCTCAGAAAGTCGAGTTTGCTCGCATCCGCAACAAGAGGAACCAAGTTGTAGCTATTCATAGCCTCATCACTTTCGATTCCGTTGAAGGAGCCACAGAGGTAATACATTTTACCTTGGTGATTCATTTTACACTATGCTATATTAATGTACTGTATTTCTGAATTTGTTACTGTTTTTTCTATTAATTTCTGCAGGGTCTTAAGTATAATGGTCAAATGCTGCGGGAATCATCAATCTATGTTACAAGACAAGGGAATAGGTATATACTTCTTTGCTTTTTTTTTGTAGAGATTTTGGATTAACAACTGATTACTAATCACTAGATTCTTGTTACAGCCGAAAAATTCTCTGTGTTAGTGGATTTGATGGAAAGGCTGAAGAAGAGATGATGAAGAAACAGCTTTGGACTGAGTTTGCGTCACGTGGTGTAGAGGTGTTGAAGATATTTCTTCCAAGAAACATCAAGACTGGGCTTTGCCTTGGATTTTGTTACATCCTTTTGGAGACTAAAGATATAAAACCAAAAAAACTCTATCAGCCCATCACAATTGATGGTGTGAAGATTGCTGTGAGAGATTCTACACTTCGAACATCCTACTTGCCTGAATTGGTAAGCAAATATAGATCTTATAACTTGTAATTAGTCTGCTTCTTAAACTGCATCCACACTAACCGTGGTTTCTCTAATCCTTTTTGCAGCTTGGTAAAAAGAATGTCACGGAAACCGAAAAGTCTCTTCTCAAAAAGGTGGACATGTTACTCTCTTTTCACATGACTGCGATTAGATTCACATACGTTTTAAAGCGCCTTTTTTTCAGTTCAGAATCATTTGCCTTGTTACTGCAGGTGTTGCTACCGATACCGCCTGGACTACACGACGCGTCTGGAGAGACGTTTCTTTGGGAAGCTACTAGACCGGACATAATTCCTGAGACTGTAAAACAGGACTCAAGTAAGTCATATAAGTTGGTTGTCTTCGTGATGAGAATTCACAAAACTTTTTCAAGTTTTGAATACTTCATTAACTTTTGTGTTTTTTTTTGCTTCTTTATAGACGATTGCTGGGCTATTGCTCTTACACGGCATCATAAGGCATTGTTGCAACTACAGAACATAGTTGGACCATTTCTGACACGTGATCAACTCAAACGAGGTGTGGGTCCTGCTCATGTGGTTTCGGGTCAAGGGATCGACCGTCTCAAAAATGCTGTCCCGTTCATGAAGAGCATTGGGTGTGATATGCAAATTCATAACCGTCCGAGGGGTGATGACGTGAGGGAATTCGAAGCTTTTGAAGAGTTTATTGAACTTCTCTTAAAACAAGGACCTCTGATGGTGAATGTCGAGTGTACTCCTGGTTTTAGTGATTTCAACGGAGAGGTAAATCATTTTTTTCACTTTTCTTTTCTTTTCCTTGAATTCATTAATCATTTTATTTATGCTAGTAGTAAGATATTGAGATATTTTGTTGTAGGGAATCTATCTTCCATCAGACAGTGACATTTACCTACGAACCTTCGAGAAATTCCCTACTCACTGCATCTTGTTGACCGGATATGGTGTGAAAGATGGGAAGCAGTATTGGCGTCTACAAGATTCCAATGGACAAGATTGGGGAGAAGGTGGGTTTATAATGATGGAAAGGCATAAATGCCTCATTAGAAATGTCGTTGAGTTGAAGATCGCTTGATGTGTTTTTTTATTTTAAAATGCCTTATTAAACCGTTTTGTAAACAAGCCCAACTTTGGTTTTCTAAGCTTGTATTTTGGGTTCTAGGATATAACAATATTAACCATGGCTTTGTAATAGCATAACAGTTTTAACCATGGTTTCGTAAGCTTGTATTTTTGGGCTCTAGCATAGCCCCTTCAAAATTTGAAATTATTGATTTTACCAATTTAGAAGCTCTGCGTGAAGAAGTGACTGGGTTATTTTGATGTGGCATTGACCATAATCGACACATAGTGAGTGGAACCAGCACTTCTCATGATAGCATGTATACGTGCCATTTATTTTTAGCAGCCAGTTAATATTTAGGATAATGATGTTTCAACTTTCACGCATGAGAAGACAGCTGCGGGGGACTAGGCAAATTGAGATATCCATTTAAATATACAAACCAATCTAAATCTAAATCTAAATCTAAATCTAAATCTAAATCTAAATCTATTTTGACCCGTTTTAACTCCAAATATTCATCAAATTCAGATGAGAGAAAGTCAAGATTCATTCTTTCACCCGTTTGACCTCTAAAGCGTCAATTCAAACCAAAATAATTAAGTTCATTTGAAGCCCATTTAAAAATGAAAAGCCCACAAAGCCCATCCAGTTATTACAGTGTATGATTTTCGATTCAGAGAAACGATTAGGTTTCTGCCTCGCTTCTCTCATTCCATCTCAACTTCTCCTCCAATGGACGATACGGGAAAGCCGCATATGGAAGCAACCCCGGCACAGCACGAGAGCCGGAAGAAACGGTGCAAGGTTAGATCTCTAATATTTCGCTGACTATTCGTAGCTATTGCTGGTCCTCGTAAAATTTCACTTTTGTCTGAAAAAAACAACATTGTCCTGCTAGGTTGATCCGACCCTAGTCTCTTCTGAGACAGATGATTCTGATGCCTCAGAGAATAAGAGGAATCAGGAGAACAAGGCTCTCAAGGAGCCTTAGGAGCTTAAGGCTCTCAAGAAGCTCAAAAAGCTCAAGGAGAAGCACAAGTACAAGAAGCAGAAAAAGGTTAGATTTTTCAGAATATTCATCTCCATCGTTAGAGCCTTAGATGATCGATCAGATTCGTTGAATTCTGCAAATTTTCTACTTTTTCTTAGCGTATGATTAGCTTTCGCTTCCTTTTCTCAACTTTTTTTTTTTTTTTTTTTGGCAGATAATAAAAGAATTAACTAATCGCGTGGACGTGCTCACTGAAGCTGTCGAAAAGCTACAGAAGACTTCATTGAAGGTATATGTGTGTGTGTGTCTTGTATTATCTGTTTTGTATGTTGAGGTTTAACACTCCATAGCTGATATATTTGTTCAATTTCTACCATGTCTGTAGGAGAAATTAATTCCAGATGAAAAGGTGGAAGAAAAAGAGTGCTGCTTCGAATCTGAAGATGCAGATTTGAAGAACCCGCTAACCATTTTCGTTGAGGGATTCAATTGTTCATTTCCTAGGGATGAAATCAGAAACACATTGATACAACACTTCAGTTCTTGTGGAGAGGTCGCAAGGGTTTTTATTCCCTTTCATTGTACAACCGGCTCTCCCTTGGGGTTTGTGTCTTGATTCTTCCTTCAATTTCTCACAATTTAAATGCAAACGAGAACAATTCCTTATTCTCTTTTTTTGTTTTGTTTTTTTTCTCTCTGTCAGGTTTGCTTTCATTAATATGATAGAAGATCCGGAGAGGGCGTTGAAACTCAATGGAAGTTGCTTGCAAGGGCAGAGGCTATTGGTTACCATGGCTGTAAACAGAGACGAATCCATTTGTTATAAAAACCGTAAAGGCTGTAAACGTTGTCGGAGTGCTGTGATGAAGCGCCGTTTGAAACAATTCCATGAGAGTTTTAGAATGCGAATCCGTTTAGGTATACATACATATAGTAATTTCTTTGTTATTGAATCTTACTTGTGAAGAAAGTAACGTCTCTTTAACTCTTGCTTATTTTTTGGCTTTTTTGTTCTTGATACTGCAGATACTAACCCTGGCGAGATCGAGAATTAAAGAGCTAACAACCAGCTACATCCAAACGTTTATAAACTTCGTGTGTTCTGAGAGAAGTTGTATTATATATGTGATGCGTGCTATTTAATTAGTTGCATAATGTATGCCTACAACTCTTTTTGAAGCTAGTCTTTTAATTTTATTTTTTATTTCCAAAATACTTTCAGTTATTGTATTTTGTGTTGTCGCATAACATTTTTCAAATTGAAATATTTGAATTATCTTAATCAGAATTGAAGTTAGAAACATGTGAACCATTAAAAAAAAAACGATCAAATGGTCATTAGAAGCCTTGATATCTCTCTGTAAAACAACTTGGCTTGCTCCTGTATGCAAGTAACAGAGCGCAGACGCATATCTTTCAAAAATGAGTCTTTGAGGCCACGAATGAGAGTAAATGAGAATTAGCCGAACAAACATTGACATTATTTGTTGACAGTTGATCCCTTTTTTTTTTTTCTTTATGTCGAAGATATTATTTGAAAATGTAAGTAAACGTATATAAAACTTTCAAACCCAAGTAATGCACTTTTACAACAGTTTCGTACTTTGCATAAACCATTTGCTCCAGATAACCAAATTGTGTATGAATCTTTTCTAACACCGAAAAGCCACAGTCGCTTGTTACGCGTTTGAACCTCAGGCCACAACCGGGTAAGATGAACATGTTGCAACACCTGTCAGAATCAAAAAAACAAAAAAATCAACGGGAGCGATAGAGAGAGAGAGAGAAACAGAGCTCTATTCAAACCGAACTTGTTTTGGATTTTATTTCTTCTTTGCCAAATTAACTGACTTAAACCGAACTAAACCGAAATCGAAGTTGTTTTAAATAAACTTACCACACATGTTCTTCCCCATTTCCATCTTAAAATAGCCACTCTCTCCCCAATCACCTCCCCATGAGTTCTTTATAAGCCAATACGGGACACCATCTTCAACTCCATAACCAACTGCCAACACAGCATGGTTTACATCCTGTTCCCACAAAAACCCCGGTTTAGTTACCAAATCAAAAACAGATTTTGAATGTTTTTCTTTCTTGTTTGCAAGTTTGAAAAAAAAAAAACTCACCATTGGAGTGTTTCCACAAGTAGTACTAGTGAAAACTCCCTTATTGTAAAACCGGAACTCATGTACAACCTGAAACGCCACACTCACTGGCCTTACTAATCCAACTGCGTGCTTCATTTCATCTTCTGCACCCTATTGATTTTATATAAACAAAAAAATAATAATTAGAGAATGAATAGTTTGTGGTAAGAGTGATTGAATTAAAAATGAGACTCTACCTGAGTAATATTAACAGAGTCGACAACTTGTACACCGATGTTTTCAGCTGAAAACTTGCAGTCACCGTCTTTACCAGTGTAAGGATAATCCTTCTCTGTGTCAAGCCCACCGTTGTATTTGATGTATTCAAAAGCTTGTGAAGGAAGTCCACCATGACAACCATTGTTACTAAAAGCTCCGGCGCAGTCCACAAGCTGTTGCTCTGAGAGAGATATCCCTTTTCCAAATGCCTGATGGTACGCTGCTTCAAGAGCTCCCGTCGTGCTGCAAGTTCAAAGTTGATCATATACATATCAGATATTCTACGATCTTGCTTCTATCAAGAAATCACTGAAAAAACGAAGGAGATGGTTCAATATTGTTTTTACCTGAATGTCCAGCAAGATCCACAACGTCCCTGGTCTTTGACAGGGCTGACAATTCCATCATCTCTCCAGTCTTTCTGCAGTTAGAAAATTTAAGGACTCAGATTCTGTTGTGAACTAAAGATTGAATAATAACAAGAAGGGGATGAGATTCGTTACTTACTGTTGCTGGAAGTGAAGCTTCAGTGAGCTTGTGGGTGCCTTTCAAAGTGGCAGAGCAGTTTTGAGCAGCACCAAGACTGTGTCTTTGAAACTCTTGCCATGTCAAATCAGCAAATTCTGTATAGAGAGATTCATAACCATAAACAACATTTAAGCGACTATACCATCAAGCATCAAACTACTACCACACATGGAACGTAAATCATCATGAAGTGAGTCAACTAAAAAGCCTAAAAAAGTAAAACAATCTAAATCATGTGACTCGAAGCAAATCTATCTCAAATCAAGCTCTTGAGATATTCTCAGATTTGACTTACGGTTAACAGAGAGTCTGTAAGGTAAGCCTTTCTTATTGGTGGATCTGATTAAACCGAGATTCTCCTTGAAAACAGAGAACCGGAGCTTCATCTCCTCCGCGCTCTGATACCGCTTCCCATACCTTCATCACCCACAACATTTTTTCATAATCCGAATCGTAAATTCAAAATGTTCGAAATTAGTCAACGGCGAATACAAATGATGAGAATTACCGGTGAGCGAAGCGAGAAAAGGAGAGGACATGACGGGACTGGCCTAGTATCTGGACGACGGTTTCTTCAACCTCCCGGAGACTATAGGAGACCATCCTGATCGGATTGGATTCATCGAATCCGATCTCTTCCGCCGTCGCCGCGGCGACGAGAATCAACAAAATCGCTGAAGTAAGGACTAGTTTCACCGACATGGCTTATCTGTTTCTTTACTTTTACAATGCTTCTGCGTGAGAGTAAAGTCGAGCACTGTGACGAAGAAGATGGAGATGGAGATGGAGATGGAGATGGAGGGAGATATATAAAATAAATTCTGTAATCTGTATTGCTTCCCTCGAGATTTGATTTCTGTTTCAATGTTTTGTCAGATTACGTTTACGCGGGACCCAGTTTCCGGAGGTGTAGTACACGTGGTGAAGTTTTGTTGGTTTCTTTTTCGGCTTCAATAATTGGATTTTCTGACGTGTATGGTGACGTTGACATTTATGGTCCACTATCATGTTGGAAGAAAATCTACTGAAAGGTAATTTTCAGTTTTTTTTTCATTGTTATTTTGTGGATTTTTTAGGTGTAACTACTTCGGTTGACTTTCAGTTGAGAAGAAGATTCATACTCCTATTAGGCTGTGGACCAAGTGTCCATTAGATTTGTTTCGATTTGTTCTTCCATTTGATCCGAATTTTTTTTTGAATAACTATGATATTACAAAGCAAAACAAATACAAAAATTAGTTAATGAATATACGATATAGCAAACCACAATGGAGTAGAACATATCCACTGTTGAATATCTGGTTATAAATAAATGAGTACGTATCAAATTTCAAATATAATATTGATCCAAAAGGAGTAGAACGGATCACATTGCCACAAAAATCATTAATTCAATTTTTATATAAAAAAAAAAATATAAGTTTTTTTCGTAAAAAAATAGAAATAATCTCACGGTAAAAAACAAAGTCAAATTAATCCTTAAATCCGAAAGATCTCCTATCTTTCTTTCTTATTAGAAGGAAACAAAGGCAGAGCAAAACCTTTTCTTATAAAATTTTAAAAATAATTTCATTGCTTCGTTTAGTCAGATTTTTGCATTTTTATTCAGAAGAACTCTGATCCTTATGGTGTTTTTAATTCATATGACACAAAATTACTCACAAATATAATATATATACAGAACTTTGCCACAACTTCTCTACAACAGAATTAATGTTTAAGCATTAGGGCAAATAAGACTAGTATACAACAAAGAAATGAAAATGGTTTTAGTCAGAAACCAAAGAATGTGTACATAGTTCTTAACTTTCATCTTCCATCACCATAAACGATCGTGTGAGAAATAAACATTGAATTATTGGGAGAGGAAGAAGATACTGATGGTGTTGATGAGGCCACTGAAGTGGAAGTGATTGCCAAAGAAGGTATTCCCATCAACACCGGAGTAGAAACTCCGATCCCCGGTGTATCTGGAGAGAAATCAGGCAACATCTGATGCCTGTTTATGTATTGCACAACTTGCTCCATCGTTGGTCTTGAATCCGGAACAATGCTTGTGCATAGCAACCCAAGTTTCAGAACCATTTCCACTTCCCCTGGCACGAACTTACCTCCCAATCTTGCATCTATGGCACCAACCAGAGAGCCTTTCCTCCAACACTCACAAACCCATTTGACCAAATGTCGTTTCTCAACCGCCATCTCAGGATCAAACGGTCTCCTCCCACATGTTACCTCAAGCAAGAACGCACCAAACGCATACACATCAGTTCTTGTTGAGGTTCCTGTTGACGTCAGCTCAAGCGCCATGTAACCTATGGTTCCTACAGCTGCTGTTGCAGAGAGGTTAGCTCCATGATCATCAAACCTAGCCATCCCAAAATCTCCTAAAAACCCTTGTAGGTTTCCATTTAACATGACGTTAGAAGCTTTGATATCTCTGTGCAGAACAACTTGGCTAGCTCCTGTATGCAAGTAACAGAGCGCAGACGCGATATCTCTCAGAACCGCGACTCTCTGAGACCACGAAAGAGGCGGTTTATCGTCGTGAAACAAGTACTGATCAACGCTACCTCCTTCCATGTACTTAGAGACAAGCAACAACTCGCCTTTTCGCCTGCAATACCCTAACAGAGGAACAAGATTCTTGTGCTGCAAGCTTCCCATTGTAACAACTTCAGCTACAAACTGCTTCATGCCTTGCTCTGCATCGTGCGACAGCCTCTTCACTGCGATGTCTCCTACAAGAGGAAGAGTTCCTTTATAGACTTCTCCGAATCCGCCTTTTCCGAGACGACCGTCTTTGTTAAACCCTCTTGTTGCTTTGTACAAAGATTTGTATGAATAACGAAGTGGACCGTATTGCTTCTCCCATGGCTCTTTAACCTCTGCGTACTTCTTCTTCCTGTAGAGATAAATTCCTCCCAAAACCGCCATTACTATGAGCGCGAGTATAACCAGTAGAAGGATAAGCAGAGGATTGTTTTTCTTCTTTATGGTGGGACGAGGAACAGAGGGAAGTCTAGAGATGTCAAGGCTCTGTAATGAAAGTCTGTTTCTGCTGAAACTCCATCCTAAGATGTATTGGTGACTGATCAACGATCCAGTTGCAGCCGAAAACCCTAGAAATGCTCTTCGATCCGGGAACATTGCAGTGAGGTTGATGCTTTTTGACAAGAGAGGCTTGCTTGGCTTCTTCTTCTGGTTCTTTAGAGGAGCTAATGTAACGTTGAGCAGAGAATCTTCATAATCAATCCACACCTGTATAGAATCTCCACTCAAGAGTGTCAAGCTTTTGTTCTTCCCTTCTCTGTCGGAATAGTAAGAAGCTGAATCAGAAACAGAGGATTTGAGGTTGTTTTCGTCTATACCGACGTGGTTCTTGTCGATGTCGTCAAACTCTGCGCTCTGTACGGTGTCGAGCTCGACAGCTAAGATTTGAGAAGAAGGAGATCCGTTCGTTGAGATGTTGAAGAGTCCTAAGAATTGAGTTGGCTCTGCTTGTGTGAGATCCATTGAAGCTGATAGAACAAAGGCGATTCCATGACCACCGTCAGAACCTGGATTACGGACCAAAGCGCAGACGAAATGAGTCGAGAAAGAGAGAGATTCCGATGAAGCTGAGCCGAAATCGAATGGACGGTTGAAGAAAGCATGACCCATTTGCTGAGTTGTTGCATTGGTTAGCTGCAAAAGTCCGTTTGGTTGGATTCTTGCAGAACCGTCAAGGTGAAGATTGACTTGGTCTTGGTTAAAGCCATTGTAGATGAAACTTAAGTCTTGTTGACTTGAAAAGGAGATTAGATTAACAAAGAAGATTATAGAGAGAAGAAGATGGAATCTTTGAGCCATTAGTAATGGAAAGAAAAAAAAACAGAGACAAGCTTCTTCTTGTTCTTCTTTTTTTTGTTAAGGGATTCAGAGAGACGAGCTTCTTTAGGATTCTGGATTTCTATAATCACAAGCTCAAATTATAAGGGAACGATTTGAAACCCAATTTTCAATGTTCCAAGTCCAAGAAAAAAATATTCCCTCTAAGCATTAGTTGACTTTAGACTTTTAAATTAAATATATATAACCGTGATAGTTACTCTAAAAATAATAGTTTTCTTCGTTTAAAAATCTACTAATTCTCTTTCAGAAAAGTGTATGGTTCTACTCTACTCTCGTTTTGACAATGTCAAATCGAATTAAATAAAAGCGAAATATCCCTCAAAGCAAACAATTATTGGTTGAAGACAAAAATGAAATTGTCTTGAAAAGACAAAGATTCTGCAGCTAGAAGACTTTACAGACGAACGGGGGTGTTGACTTGAGTACTTGAGTTCCGTGGCCATGGGAAGAGGAAATGGGGGTAACGTGCTTACGAAGTATCCGGTAAAAGCCCTACTTTGTCAAACCCCATTTCTTGCTCTTTTGGCTTGATCCAAGTCAAGTTTTTTTTTCTCCTCTAAGACTATAATCTGAAACTTGTAGTATACTGTATTTCAGAGACTCTTTATTCATAAAAACCATGATTGGTTATTAAAACAGGATCCTTATGCTCTTTCAATCAAAGACACGACCTCATTAACAAGATCCATAAATAGACAAAGTTACATTGAGAAATACAAAGTTTAAATAGTAGGGACAATGAGATACATGATTCAGTTCGGTAATGAGATCTGTATCCTGTACATCAAAGAACAGATCAGAAACCTAGGAAAATCGTTATATTTCATCTTCTATATATGAAAAATAGAGACTGATGGTGCTGATTACTGATTAGGTCACTGTAGGTACTCCAATTCCGGGAGTATCTGGAGAGAAATCAGGCAATCTTTGGTGCATGTTTAAGTACCGCACCACTTGTTCCATTGTTGGTCTTGAATCTGGTACAGTGCTTGTACAGAGCAAGCCGAGTTTCAGAACCATTTCGACTTCCTCAGGTAAGAATTCACCACTCAATCTTGTATCTACAGCATCAACAAGCGAACCCTCTCTCCAGCAATCACAAACCCACTTGACCAAATGCCGTTTCTCAACAGGCATCTCAGGATCAAACGGTCTCCTCCCACATGTTACTTCAAGCATGAACGCACCAAATGCATACACATCGGTTCTAGTTGAAGTTCCTGTTAATATCTGCTCGAACGCAATGTAACCTATGCTTCCTCCAAGTGCAGTGAAGGTAGATCCACGGTTTCTAAAGCTCGACATCCAAAAATCTCCTAAAAACCCTTGTAGATCTCCATCTAACATGACATTAGAAGCTTTAATGTTTCGGTGTAAAACAACATGGCTAGCTCCTGCATGCAAGTAACAGAGCGCAGACGCAATATCTCTCAAAACCGCGACTCTCTGAGGCCACGAAAGAGGCGGTTTGTCGCTGTGGAACAAGTACTGATCTAGGCTACCTCCTTCCATGTACTTAGAGACGAGCAGCACCGCGTCTTTCCGCCTGCAATACCCTAACAGAGGAACAAGATTCTTGTGCTGCAAGCTTCCCATATACGCAACTTCAGCGACCAACTGCTTCATGCCTTGCTCTGCATCGTGTGATACCCTCTTCACCGTGATGTCTCCTAGATTAGGCAGAGTTCCTTTATAGAGTACTTCTCCAACACGACACTCGTTGTTAAACCCTCTTGTAGCTTTATATAAAGATTTGTATGAAAAACGAAATGGATCGTATGGCTTTTCCCATGGCTCTTTCACTTCTTTATACTTCTTTCTCCTGTACAGACAAAACCCTCCTCGAACCGCCATTACTATATATGAGCGCGAGTATAATCAGTAGAACAATAGCTCTGCTTCTTCTGAAATACAAGAGACAAGTTTCGTTTGGGTTTATAAGGGAACAACTAGTTCAAACTCAACTGTCCACGATCCAAGTCCTAGAAACAATATTATCTCGGCAAGAAAGAGTTGACTTTAGACGATATATAAAACCGTGGTGGTTACCTACGTTAATCGCCGGTAAATCTCCGCTTCCCGCTTCGGAATCAGAATCGCCTGGAATCGCGAGGAATCGTGATAATTGTAGATCGGAATCGTGAATGGGTCGGGTTGTGTGATTTGGACCGGTGAGCTCGTCGATATGCGTAACTACGTTACCGGAGATCAAGATCTTTATGTCAAAACATAGATCGGTTATTACGAAATTGCATATGTGATATGTTGTTACCCATTAAAAAGTATCTAAAAATAATGATATGATATTTTAATATTATGATCCACTAGATTAAGGCCCGCGTATACGGGTATATTTTAAGATTTTATAATAAAAGCATGGAAAATATTAAACAAAATTTGATCATTTTTAAACATAAACAAAATAATATTGAAAACCCGATAAAAAATATTTAAATAAAATAAGATTGGTAATACTTTTACATTTTTATTGTAATTAATTTGTTTTACTATTATTTTTATCCAATACAGAAAGACTTACACATGTCTAAATCTGATCAACTGATTAATTAATCAAACTTTTATTATTCCATTCAAGAGATTTTAATTGATGAAATATTTATTTCAATTTTTTTACCTAACAAAAATTGAAAATCAAACTATTTAAAATTAGAATATCAATTATAATTTTTTAATATTAGTTAATTGCTTGATAATTATTTTGTTAGTTTTTTATTTATATGTTTTCTTTCTCAATTTTTTTTTGCCTCGACCATTATAAATACTATATATTGGTATTTTTCCTTTTCGAAATGGATTTTTTTTCCTTTTCTTAATAGATGTAACAAAAGAATTTAAATTATTTGTTTCCTGTTTTTTTATTACTTTTAATGGATATATTATTTTTTTCATTTTAATTATTTGTTATCTGTTTTTCTAATTTTTAGTTAGTCTTATACATATTAATTTTTTTTTTATTCCATGACACATGTTACGATCTTCATACTTCGAGAATTTTTTTTTTCTAAAACAGATGTCGCAATTTTGTCAGTTATAAAAATCCTATGTATCGCAAAACTTTCAAAAACATGATTTTTAAATTGGAGAAATATAATCAAAGGGATTTGATGAATTTGTTTTGATGAATTTATGATTGAGAAATCTTGACTCTCTTTTATAGGGGTTCAAGTAACCTATTACATGCAGTTATAGGAAATTTAGTTTACATAACATATTCCATGTACAAATAGGATTTTATTTATTACATTATTTTGATTTTATTATTTGTTTGGATAATATTAATTTGATGAATGGGAAACCTTTCTCTATTAGGATATGACAAATATATTTTTATTTCTTTTAACTGTAATGGATTAATTTTTTAAAAACAATTTCCTTTATCTAAATTTTTATTATTATTGTTTTTTCTTTTTTTTTCTCTAAGACATGTGTCACGATCTTAACGGACGTAACATTAAAAGTGACACATGTCGCGATCTTATAAATTATAAAAATCCTATGTGTCGCAACCACGTCGTGCGCATCCAACTTTATATAATAAAAAATTGATGAATGGAAAACCTTTTTCTGTTTGGATATAACAAATATTATTTTTTCCTTTTTGATATAATATATTAAATTAAATTTCGTTTTTTTAATTAACATTTTTCTGGAATTTTTTTTTAATTCTTTTTTTCCTAAGACACATGTCACGATCTTAACGACATAAACTTAAAAGTGACACATGTCGCGATCCTGAATTTTATAAAAATCCTACGTGTCGCAACCACATCGTGCGCATCCAGCTTTATATAATAAGAGTTGAGCATACAGGATTATGTGTTGCCTTAATTTTTATTTTACATCTGTAATGGAAACAATCAAAGGATACAAAATCGCTTTATGTAAAACATCAGCAATAGTTTTCCAAAGAGACCGGAACACTGATTTGGTTCCCAACTCTTCGAACACAATCGTTCCATGACTGTTTGGTTTTTGGAATAGACTTAAATGCAATGTTTTTATATTTATAACTCGAGAAAATGAGTTGAGCCAATCCTAGATGACAATCTTCAATAGATCACGGCAACATTCATCCGTCAATATCTGCGTTGTCTTTGAAAATACTATCTCTGCATTTCGAGTTTTGCTTTTCAAGGCAATCTTGAAAAAAATCGAGACGTTTATACGAGTAATGATCCGCAAGCTCCATGTCATATTCCATTGCGGGTGAATCGGCTTCTTCCAATGGAGATTCGTCGGGAGATTCGTTGTAAATCTCAAAATCTACATGTGAAAACACACTCTTGGCTTTATCCGACTACTTAAAGATACAGCTAGCTAAGAATCTACATGTGAAAACTATCCTTATCCTTATTGTTTGTTAGTTTTGAAAAATACATTTCTAGATGTGAAATAATTATCCTAATCTGAAGTTTTCAACTAATTTAATAAAAACGAAATTCAAATAAAAAATATAATCATTAAAAATATAAATGTTATAAACAGTTCAAATAGGGTGAGATTAAAATTGTTTATAGAAAGTTCCAAAAATATTTAAATTTGTTTAAAGATAAATGCTAAAAACGGAAGATTGATTTATCCATTTTAAAATTTTAATAACTTATGAAATTGAAATATATATAAAGTTTAAATTTATAAAGGTTTCATTCAGTTCCAATGGGGGAGTGAGATTAAGATTGTTTATATACAATTCCAAAAATATGTTTAAATATATGTATAAAGTTTAATTCAGTTTGAATGGGTGAGATTAAGGTTGTTAATATAAAGTTCCAAAAATATTTTATCTTTTTTAAATATAATCATTAAAAATGATTGATAGATTTATCCATTTTTAAAAAATTAACATTTATTTACGTGGATAAAAATATGATTAATTCTATTATTTCGAAATTCGTTTTTTAAAATTGTCTTCTTTTTTATTAAAACAGTTTTTTAGTATAAAAGATGTATTTTTCAAAAGAGAAAAAAATGTATATAAATTTTAAATTTATAAAAGGTTTCATTCAATTTAAATGGGGAGTGAGATTAAGGTTGTTTATATACAATTCAAAAATATGTTTAAATATATATAAAGTTTAATCCAGTTTGAATGGGTGAGATTAAGATTGTTAACATAAAGTTCCAAAAATTTTTTAACTTTTTTTAAATATAATCATTAAAAATGATTTATAGATTTATACCCAAAGATTACTCAGTTGCAAGGATGTCATTTCACATATTGAAGTTGCAAGGATGTCATTTCACATATTGAGAATGATCATCAAGGAATTTAAAACATAACACAAAACAATCACAAATATTGATGAACCCTTAATCGGGTATAATCTAAGATAAACATAGAATAATGTAAATATTTCCAAGAAGGTTACTAAATTTACTAAAGCAAAAGTCAAGATGGTATCATCCAACTGTAATAGGGAAGCAAAGACACAATTGCTGCTAACAAAGTATTTTCAATCAGATTACAAATCAAAATGCAAGAAATATCTTATCACACAGAAGGAAAGATCACAATCGCTGCTAACAAACTCGAATAACTATTTCAAGAATCAAGAAGCAAAAGTCAAGATGGCATCTTACAGCTTAGCACATACAAAACTGACATCGAAATTCAAACTGTCCATTTTAAACAAACAATCAACAATAAATGTTCTTTTCTTATCCATTAAGAAAATGCAAGAATTGCAAAGATATAATTCTCATCTTTAGATTACTCACCAAAGATTAAAAGGGTAATGCAAAACATATAAACTTGAGACTGGTTACACGAGTCTCACTTGCATTCATATATATATATATATATATATATATATATATATATATCTTTAGGAGACGACAAGACACATCTATTTAAGAAAATGAAAGACCTTATGATACATACAAGCACCAAAACAGAAATTAAACATGTAAGTTTCTAAAATTACAACAGAGATTTCTCACAAGATAAACACACAACTTAATGTTTCAATACCAGAAGTATCATCTACATTACTATCAATGGATATGTTAGAAATAAGTTTATAGAATCTGAGAAAAACTAGATCAGTGATAGACTGATAGTAAAGTTACCAAGACAGCTATATAAGAGATATTTCAAACTATGAATGTTGGTTTGATCATTATTTCTCTACCTATACGTATATCACTTAACATAGCTTGTGATTTTCATAGGTAATAATATTAGACAACTATGCAATTAATATTTCTAACAATGAATGGCACTTAGAGATCAGTATTTCTAACTTTACGTGTATATAACCACTTAACTTAATTACGTGTATATTTCTAACTTAATTTCAAGAATTAAGAAGCAAAAGTCAAGATGGTATCATCCAACCATAACAAGGAAGCAAATATCACAAGCGCTGCTAAGTGCAACCAACGAATTAACAATCAAACAACAAACCAAAATGCAAAAAATATGCTCACTAGACATATCTTATAACAGGGAGCAAAGATTATAATCGCTGCTAAAAAACTCAAATAAATATTTTAAGAATCAAGAAGCAAAAGTCAAGATGGTATCATCCAACCATAACAGGGAAGCAAAGATCACAATCGCTGCTAACAAAGAATTAACAATCAGACAACAAACCAAAATGCAAACAGTATGCTCAGTAGACTTATCTTATAACTTAACACATACAAAACTAACAATCAACAATAAATGTTCTTTTCTTGTCCATTAAGAAGATGCCAGAATTGAAAAGATGTGTTTTTTCATCTTTAGAATACTCACCAAAGGTTCAAAGGGTAATGCAAAACATATAAACTCGAGACTGAATACACAAGTCTCACTTGCATTCAAAATAAATATTTTTAGGAGACGACAA